GTGTGTGTGTGTGTGTGTGTGTGTGTGTGTGTGTGTGGGGGGGGCTCGAATCACTTATGCGCGGCAGGGGGGAAGGGAAGCGGATAGTTTAGATTTCTGGAAGGGTCGGGCGGTGGCGTTCGCGACGGCGCTGGTGGTGGTGGTGGTGGTATCGGGGATGCGCGCTGGCGCTGGCCTCTGTCTCAAGGGACGGTCATAGAAAGTATATAAATATGCACGCGCGTGAAAGGAGACAGAAAGTTGCGTTGCGTTCCCGAGCGGGTTTTGGGAGGAACCGAGTTGAAGCGGCGAAGAACGCGCTGGCAGTCGAGCGGGACGAAAGATGAAAAGCCATCGATGAAGGCGGGAAGGACGATCGATCTTGGGTTCGGTCATACATAGCTTCTAGCTTCGGGGGGGTTAGGACGTCGGAGAGGGATTGGGGGAGATATGTAGTGATTATCGGTGATCGGACGAGAACGCGCGAGGATCCGCCACAGATGTTTTCGGCGAGGTGATGTGTGGCGCAATCAGAGTTCACCAGGAGACGGGGGTCCTGGGTTCGCATGCTCAGACTTTGGGCCGGTTGGCCGGTGCCCCCGTCGGCTCGCGGTGGGCGGAGGGCGGGAGTAGAGAGTGAGAGAGATTTGCGTTTTCTTTGGTGAAGGACCGAGCTCGACGCACGCTGTAAGGAGATCGAGATCGGTGGCGTTTGCGCGCTCGCGTGTGAGACTCCGATCGAGAGGAGACTGGAGGTGGTGGGTGTCTCGGTGGTACTTAATATGTACATAGGCACGCGAGCAGGCACGCAGTCGACGGCGATGGGCTGGTGCCGCCGTGATGGCTGAATTTCCGAAACGGGCTGCGCTGCCGCGGAAGGCAACGTCACGGCGCGGGGCGAATGCCGCGGCAAGTATGGGAAACAAAGAGGCAAGAGAGGGAGCGGAGAGAAGGCGAGAGAAGGGGAACGGCGGAGATGGAGGAACACGGGAGGTGGGACGTTGTTCGAGAGACGGCGAACTGAGACGGAGGCAGCGGATGACGTTAAGTTCACGTACGACGCAGCACCGGCCTGTGAGCGCGATCCCGATGTATGATGGGGGCTCCGGGTATGTATAGCACAGATGCTATAGCCATCGCCAGCGGAGACGGGAATCTGGAGATGGGGGTGGTGGTGTAGTGGAGATGGGCGGGCATCTTTGAGCAGCTTCTGGGCGATGCTGATAGTGATACCGATCGTGGACGGCGAGCGGGGAAGAGAGGCAAAGGATAGAACGAGAGTCAAGTCGGTGCCGAAGTTGCGGATGGGTCGACGGGGTGGAAGTCGAGCTCTCGTCCCGGTTTGCTGGTGTGGCACGTTCTCTCTTGCCGCTGGCACAGAACGCCGCCCGCCGAGGCCGAGCGCGCGCTGGCAGAGACCAACCTGGAGAAGACCGGCGCGCAATTATGAAGGCCTTTCATTTCGCCAGACCACGAGCGAAATGAAAGCGCGCGCGGAGCGAGCGACAGGGCGACCGCTCGCTCCGACCGGCCGGACACTCGGCGCCGCGGGATCCTCGGCGGAGGAGGCCCGGCGGCGGGGTTTACATAATCGCGACGTCACCCGGTGCTTCGCCGGCCAAGTCCGCTTCCCCGCGCCTCTCGCGTGCGCGCTTCATGTCCGCCGCTCTGGCCCCCGCCACCGTCCCCCGCGCGGCGATCACGACGCACGACGGCGGCGCGGCTGCTGCTCTGTGGCGGACAAAGGTGTATTATTATATGTCCACCGTCCCCTCCCCCTCCCCCTCCCCCTCCTCCTCCTCCTCGTCGCTCTTTCTCCCCACCTCGCCGTCTCACCGTCCACGAACCAAGAACGACCATGACCTCCGCCCTCGACCGCCTCGCCCCCGAGATCCTCGCCCGCATCTCTTTCTTCCTCGCCGCCCCCGAGCTCGCCACCACCGTCGCCAGCCCTTCGCTCGTCGCCCTCCACCTTACCTCGCGCGCCCTCCACGCCGCCCTCCAGGCCTATGCCACCCCACTGCGCGCCCTGCTCTACCGCGCGACGTTCGACACCGCCGCCGCCGCACAGCGCCTGCCCCCGCTCTGGTGCACCCCGCGCTGCTTCGCCGCCGAGCTCGCCGCACGCCTCCCCGCCCTCCGCCGCGTGCGCCGCCGCGCGAATATCCGCGCCGACGAAGCCGAACTCGTGCGCGATCTCTGGACCGTCTTTGTCCTCCTCCTCGAAGACTCGGGCAAAAACTACGCGCTGCTCACCCGCGTCTGCGGCGTGCGCGCCTGGGTGCGCGACATCGTCTGCGTCGTCTTTGGCCGTGGGCCGCACCGCCCAGATCTGACCTTGGCCAGCCTCGCCGTCTGGGTCCTGTGGCTCACCGACGACCACGGTAAGCACGCGTATCATCCATGCCCCGATTCAATGAAACTCACGATCAAGCGCGCAGATACCATCCTCGCCGAACAGGAACAAGACCCGCAGCACCTCATCCAGACGCTGCTCTACACCCTCACCATCGGCGGCTTCCAGGTCGGTCTCGTCCTAATCGTCGCTCTGTCCCTGACACTCACACGCCCCGTCCCAGTGGTCGTCCTACTACGCCCCGACCTCCCCGCACAGCCTCCCCTCTTGTCCGCACGACGTGTCCCCGCACCTCCCGACCGACGGCCAGCCCCCGCCGCTCCTGCACACCACCTACCTCAACCACCCGCTCTCCGCGCGCGTCCCGCCGCTCACCCCCGCCGCGTCCGCCGCCTACCTCGCCCGCTTCGAATCCCGCGAAGTCCTCGACCCCGCCCAATTCGCCCTCCCGCGCACCCGCGCCGACGCCGACGCCCTCCGCCGCGCCGGCCCGACGATGGAAGATGTCGCGCGTCTACGCCGCGTGCGGCTGCAGCTCCCGCGCCGCGGCCCGCCAGACGGCATCAAATCCGTGGACGTGGAGATGATGTTCGATGAGGAGAGGGCGGCCGGAGACGACGACGACGACGACGAGGGAGAGGGCGAGCAGGAGGACGCGAGCGAGCAACACGACGCGCTCTGGTATCGGCTCGTGGCCTGCGTCGACCCGTGCGCGGAAGAGTCGACGCCGCTCCGGGGCGTCGTGCACGATCTCGGCTCGCTCGGCGGGTGCTGGCACGGTCGAATGGTCGTAAGTATCGTGTTCTGTCTTGGCGGCGCGTGCCCTTAAGCTTTGTCCCTTCTCCGGACGTCCATCACGGGATCCTCCGAAATTCAGTTTTTATTTATTGATCACCCGTTCTCGTGTCCTTTGTCCGTCCCGTTCGCTGACCACCCGCCCGGTCCCTCCCCAGGTCCCGGACCCGGAAGCCTTCACGAGCTACCTCTTCGCACCGCCCGCGCCGCGCCGACACCACCACCCGCGCCGGCCGACGCTTGCCCAGATCCGGAGCTCCATCCACCCGCTGTACGTCCGCCTGCGCGAGTACCACTGCCTCGCGCCGGACGAGCCGCTCACGAGCTGCGCGCGGCTCAACCTCGGCGGCGTCTCCATCTCGGCCGATCAGCCGGACGACGGGGACGAGGCGGGCGTGAACGGCGTGCTGGGCGCGTGGATGCCGCCCTGGTGGGACGTGCGCGAGGACGGGGAGGGCGCGACGGTGTGGGACCCCGTCACGCGGCGGAGGACGCGGTACGCGTTGCATCGCGGGGGGCACGGAGCGAACGGCCAGGGAGAGGGGGAGCCCTATGGCGCGGCGGTGATGCGGAAAGTGGCCGCCGCGAAGGAGCGGTGGGCGGCGGAGGCGGCCGTGCACGAGTGTAGAGAAGACGACGTGCCGATGGACGACGGGCCGCTGGGCGCGGACGTCGAGGCGGAGTGGGAGGACACGGTCGAGCACGTCTCGAGCGGCGTGCGCGACATCCTCCTCCTCGGCGAGACGGGCGCGCCGCACGGCGCCGCGTGGGGCGACCACGTCTTCGTCGGCCGCGTCCGCTCCTGGGACGGCCTCGTCGTCCTCCTCCGCCTCCCCCGCCCCGACCCCGCCCGGACCGCGTTCGCCAGCCCGTTCGGGGACGGGAAGCCCATGGCGCCGCACGCGGCGGCGTTCCACGCCGTCCCGCCGCACGATCACGGGCACGCGCATGCCGGCCGCTGGGTGTTCCGTGGGTACATGCAGGGCGGGAACATACTCGGCCGGTGGCGCGATACGGCGACGGCGGTCGACGTGGTCGGACTCGAGGGCGCGTTTTGTCTTAGCCGCGACGAGGTCGGGTGGTAAGAGACGTCCGATAAAGCGGTCGGTTCGGCCCGTTCACGACATGAATGGATTGCCACTTTTTTTTCTTTTTTTTTTGCACGAGGAACGTATCTATCTATCTATCGCGCATACCAAAAGGTCAATACATGCTTTTTTATGCTGTTTCGGTCACACATGCACGCATCTCCCTGACATCCGCGCCCGTCGTCATTTCAACGATAACATGTAGCATTAGTAGACATTGTTTCATAGATTCGGCATAGAACGCGAATACATCAACATTGTGCGCAAAAAGATAACATTTGTAGACTGTACATGGCAAAGATGATAATAGATAGACGAGCTCCGTCAACCGCCCCTCCTCGACTGTCTCGTCACTCGCCGCACCAGCTTCCTTTTCGACGGAGCCCCCGAAGGCTTCTGGTTCTCCTGCGCGCCGTCGTCGCCGCCCGCGTCCGTCGTTGGGTCGCCGCCGCCCATGAGCTTCACGAGCCGCATCTTCTCCTCCTTCTGCAGCGGATCCTCGTATTCGACGCGCATGCCCGAGTCGTCCGGCAGCGCCTCGTTCGCCAGCATCGCGTCGTCCTCCGGCGCCACCGTGAACGCATCCATAGGCAGCTCCGCGAACAGCGAGCCCGAGTTCGAGTTCACCTTCACAAGCTATGAAAACAAAGCACGAAAACAGTGATGCCGGTCAGCCGCGAACCAAAGATGGAGATCTCGTATCTCTGTATGCACCCACCCTGGACTTGGCCGTGGGGCGGGCTCGCTTGCCCGCCCTAGCGCGTCGCGCCGGCCTCCCCGCGCCCTCCTCACCCGCCTCGCCCTCGTTCGCCCGCTTGCCCAGCAGCACGCTGATATTTTCCTGCAGCGCGCGCGTCGCCGCGTCGTCGATCCGGAGCGGCGACGACGACGATGGGAGGAGCATGCTTGCGCTGCCGCCACTACCTCCACCTCCCGTGCGCGAAGCCTTAAGCGGCGAGGGCGACACGGACGACGCGACGCGAACCTCCGCGAGTTCGCGCCGGATCTCGGCCGCGCTCGACGGTGGCTCGGGCGTCGCCGCACGCGGCGGGGTGCTCGCCACCGCCGACGCCGCCTGCTCCGGCTCTTGCAGCAGCATGGGCTCGCCAAAGGACGCGATGGTGCTCTCCTGCGCCTGATCCCGCGCCGCAGGCTTGGACGCGGGCCGAGGCACGGGCCGTGGCCGTGGCCGCATCGGCTGCGCGTTCTGCTCAGCGGCCTGATTCTGCGCGGGCCTCGACACGGCGGCATCCTTCGGCGCGGGCGTGGATCGAACCACTTGGCGCTGGTCTGACGACGTGCCTGCATCACGAAGCATCGTCAGCATGACCCGCCACTGCAGGGTGGGTGCAGTGCGTACCTCGATCCGACGCGAGCTTCTCGACAGCCTGCGGTGGCGGCGGCGGGATCTCGATGAGGAGCGTTCCCCGTGGAGGTACAGCACCCGTGCGTGCCATGTACTCCAGCCATGCCATCCCGACGACAGGCACGCCCCACTCGTTCGCCTTGGCGAATTTCGCGCCGGCGCCGGATGGGCACAGGAGGTGCGTCGTTCGTCGACGAGCGAACTGGGGAGCGTGACCGACGCCCAGGGCGCGCGCGAGCCGACGAATCCAGCACGCCTCAGACTGGTCCAGGCCCGAGAAGCTGAGCTTGATCAAGTCCGCGCCTAGAGGGCGAACTGTGCATTAGAATGTGTGGTTTAATGAAGAAGAGGGACTTCGCGTGTTGCGTTACGTGAACGTGAGACGGAGGACAATGCTCACCTAGTACGGGAGTGTCGATGGTGAGCGGGGTGAACGTAACGTGTTCGTCCGGCGCGCATATGCGGCCTTCGAATATGCAGCGCTCGAGCCAGCATTCGGTCCGGTAGAGCGGACGGCGGCGCTCGTCGGTTTCTTGTCTATAAATCTGGCTTCCGCTGCAACGTAAGGCGGGTCAGAACTCAATGACGATGACAAATACAAGCGGAACTGAAAGCGAGAACACGGAGAGCGCATATAACCTTATAGATGCATCTCTCCGCGGCAAGACAGCAAAATGATGAAATGGGAATGAAACTTACCTGACGAGCCTCACTACCACATAATCCGCCTCGCCGGTCTCACCCTCCGCAATTACGCAGCCGGCCAGACCCTCCACCGCGGCCCGTACGTTCTCGCAGTCCGCCTCGCCCAGACACCGAAACCGCAGCCCTGCGAACAACTCCGGCGTCGCTGTTGCCGTCGCCTTCACACCCGCGGAGGGCCTTCCTTCCCGCTCCGACGCACCGGCCTCATTATCTACCTCCATGTCCCGCACCCCGTTTACGCCTGCATGAGCAGGAGAAGACGAAGAAGGTGACGACGCTTCTCGAGCGCCCACGGTCATCCCCGGCCGGCCGTCGATGGTCAGCCCGCCCGGCGCGCCTGCGCTGAGGAACGAGCTCCCGGGCCTCACGCCCGACAGAGTCGTCGGCTGCGCGCGCCCTATTCCGGACACCATCCGCTTGAACTCCTTCGGCGCCTTGGGGGCAAACGACGCCGAGCGGCGGAACGATGGCAGGCCGAGCACGCTCGCTACGGCGCCACCATCTCCATCCGCGGCCCGGCCCTTGCCCTTGAGGTCTACCTTCGGTCGCGTGGGTGACGGTTCCCAGTCGAGTTGGCGGGGCTGCGACTGCGACTTAGACGGGCTGCGGACGAGGGCACCATCGACAAGGACGAAGCCCCGCGGGCCCAGGAGCGACTCCCAGATCTGGAGGGTGACGGCGGGCACGCGTCGGACCGAAGCTATTTCCTCGTCGGCATCGTCTCCATTGGACTGAGGTTTGCTACCTGCATTGGAAGGAGCTGCGCCGTCTAGTGTGGAGAGTTGCGGAAGCTCCGTCGTAGCTAATGGTTCACGCCACGGTCAATATACGAGCTCGTCTGATTACTGAGGAGGCCTTACGTTCGGAATGCTGCATCCTCGTTGGCCGTGGCCGATCGATGCTGTACTTGTCCTCATCGAACCTGCCTGGAAGAACAGTCGTCAGTTCATCGTTTTCCTCAACAATGAGCAGGACTCGCCTCCAAACGCCACGCAGTCCCAGAACCACTCCTCCCAAACTAGTTTGATGCTGGCCTCGCCGCGGTCATTGAACTTCTTCGCGTATCGGATTTTATCTGTCTGCTCTGTCCCGGAGCACAGGAGATGTGTGACCTGGAAAAGGGTATCCGCTTCAGATATTACTCCTTGGTGAGATAACGAAGCGAAAGGGCGTACCCGCACTGGCCGTTCGATGGCCTTCACGTATTCGCCGCCTTCGCCCTGAACAAGCTTCGCGACGCGTGAGCGTTCATCTGGCATAGCGTCCCCTGACTGACAGATGACGAGCGATGAGAAGATGGGGAGACGATGTGCGTGGATAGACTATATGGAGAATTGAGTCACCGACTGACGAGGGACCTATACGGGAAGGGCTTACTTCCTCAACATCGACATCATCTCCTCGCAGCCAAATCTCATAGCTTGTAGTGATCCACGACGGTTGCATGATCGGGATCTTACGCTCGACCGCGCACTGGCAATCGATTTGAGAATCATGATGACACAGCTAAAGCGAGAGCGCACGCACTTTGTATTTTGCGCTACCTGGTTCAACCGCCAACAGATGGGTGACCTGGTCGGTCAAATCCGAGATGGAGTGCGCGCCGAGCTCTATGGCTTGCTTGTATAGCGTAGCCTGCGCGTGACAGGATCAGCACGGATGCGGGATGACATGGTGGCGACGCACCTTGTCCGAAATGCCTGTGGCACATATCAGAAACCCCTTGAAGGGACGCGGACAAAGGTCGATCACGCTCGTTGAGCTTGGCGCGTCGTCGCTCCGGGCGTGCGCGAGCAGCCTGTCGCGGGTTGGCTGAGCGGCGCCCTTGCGCGCTGGTTGGGCGGGGCGGAGCTTGACATTCGGGACTTTGTGAGATTTGTTGGATCTTCGCATGCTCGTCGCCGTCGTCGGTGATGATGAGCGTAAGGACCGGGTGAGAAGTGAGATAGGAGTGATAGCACTCGCACACCAACGCCGCCCAGAGTGAGACGCGAAGGCGCCCACCCTAAGTCATGTTTTGAAGGCCACGTGCAATGTGTCATTTCTTCTGTTAATTAGCATTCTGTATTTAAAGCCGTGTAGTAACTGTATGAACCCTTGGCGCAGTGGTAGCGCGTGTGATTCCAGTTAATGGAGTATCCACAAGGTCGTCCGTTCAATCCGGGCAGGGTTCACTGCTTTTTGCTGTTGTTTGCAGTGCAATGTTATTTGTGCTTTTTTCTCGCAGTAAACGCTAATATTCCATATCCCGGCTTACAGCGACAGCATACGCCTCCAAAACCACAGCATGCACCATCGGTACCTCACGCCTTTCCAGTGGCGCGCCAAGCACGCGCCCCGACCTCTCTAGGAACTCTTCCAATCCGGGCCACCCGCGCCCTCCGTCCGCACCCCGCACGAGGATGCTCTTTATCATCGGCAGCTCGAGTTCCTCCAGCACTTGACAGGGGTACATCAACTCGCCCGCGAGCAGAACCAAGCGCCTCAACCTCTCGTGCCGAACGTACCTACCCTGATCCCCAGCCTCATATGCTTCCACCGCGCACGCTGCGTCGTCCAGGCGAACCGTCAGGCTCTCGAGTGCGGGTGCACTGGCGAGGATCACGAGCGTCTGTGCGACCGTCACCGGCGGCGCGTGCACCTTCAGCACCAGTTCCGTCAAGCGCACGAGGGGCAGCGCGGGCAGCGCCACAGGCGCCGCGAAGCGGACGTTGTCGAGCTCGAGGCTTGTGAGGCACGGCGCCGCCCAGACACGAGCGTGATCCGCGCCAGATAGCACGTGCGACGCGATGCGGAGTCGCTCGAGGCGCGGCAGCTCGTCGGGCGGCAACGCGAACACCTTTCGCACGACGTCCTCGCAGCCATAGTGCAGATCGAGGTCCCGTAAGCGCGGGGAGACGGAACAAATGGTCCGCGCGCACGCCTTCGCCTCGCCGGGTAGCCATCGGCGGCTGCGAAGCAGCACGTCCAGCGGCAGGTTGCCTGCCCGCGCGATCATCGTCTGCAGCGCTGTAACGGGCTGACCGCGGAAGTACGTCCCTTGGGGAGGGAGTAGACCGTGCACCGCAGGCTGGACTATCGCGAGCGTCGCGTGGAGCCGTGGCGTGGTTAACACGATGCTCCGCCAGAGGGAGCAGACGCGGGCGAGGGATAGCGGCGCCTCGGACGTGCGCGGTCGGAAGGTGAGGTTGAAATGTGCGTCAGGGAGCGCGGGTAGGCAATGCCAGAAGATCTCGCCAAGGACCTCAGGAGGGAGGCGCGAAATGGAAGATTCTGTGGGGCCGGCCTGGTGTGTTGGTGCATTATATACGGCCGCTGGCCAAAGCGAGTTCGCGTTGGTTGTGACCTGCTGGACCAGCTGCTCGAGATGCGTCAGCGTCTGCTGTAGCTGCGCAAGCGTCGGATGCCGTTGCGAAGCAAGAACGGAGACGAGGCTTGGAGTCGTTGAGTCCGGATGGTCACGATTCCCTGCGATCTGGAAATAGTTCGGCGAGGCATTCGATGAGCCGTAATCGAGTTGGACCTGCCCGCGTGATCCTTGATATAGATTGCCCAGGGTAGATTCTGGGTTATTTTCGCCAACCGAAGGACGAGGGCCTCTAGAACATGAACGCGATCAGTGTCAAACGAGCAAACCTGAGCATCATCGAACGGGCTCACCTCAAACGCCGCATTGAGCCGATGCCGCGAAACGGTGGAGAGGCAGCAGGCGCGACGGAACGGGATGAGCTACTCATTGTGTAGATGGGGGCGTATATAAACCTCCCAGGCTATGAGGCTTCCTGAGAGAGCTATGCAGTGAGCGCTGCCGAAGCTTTAGGAAAACAACTCAGAACAAGGCATGATTGTGCGTGAGCAAAGTATGGCGACCATATTCGCAGAGATTCCTCCAAGGTGATCGCATTCAGGTACACCCGAAGAGCAATGCGGAAGTCGTTGACGGGGGCGCGGCAGGAGGCACCGTTGTGGTACAAAGAGAAGGAACGCGATGCTGTCCCTGGGTCGTTGCTCAACGGATAGCTATCCACTTCATCAATGTCCATACCCATGGACTCATTCCTGGATTTTTTTTACTTCGGCACCTCCCTTATAACCTTGACGGCTATAATCTACTGTTTATGCCAACAGCTTGACGACCGTCGACCATGCGCTGATGGCTGTCTGGCACCGCTGACACCGAGTGGGCGTCGATCGGTACCAAGCAAGATCAATAGCATTGTACCTCCTCAACCTCTGAGACGACCCCGAACGGGAGTGTACGGTCGAATGCTCGAATCTCTCTTCAGATAGCTACCTACCCGTCTCTCCGGCCCTCGGCTCGCGCACCATGCACAAGTACCGCTTCTCCCATCTCTCCGCCGCGCTCTCCCCGTTCACCTCCGGGACGACGACGCCCTTCTCCTCCCATCCGTGCCTCAGATACAACCCCACACCCACGGGGGATCCATCCAAGTACGCCGGCATGCCCGCAGCGTCCGCTCGCGCGGTTCCCCAAGAGAGCAGCAACGACGCCGCGCCCCGCTTCTGAAAATCCGGGTGCGTCGCTAACATCTCCAAATCTGCCGCGAATGACTACCATCAGACAGAGTGGGACGCGAGAGTGAAAAGGAACCGACAAAAGTACGGCCTCGGACCCATCAGCCTCTTTTTCGCCTCCAGCAAGCCGGCGAAGAAACTCTGGCACAGCTGTCCATCCGCGTCCTCCGGCCATTCGGGGAGCGCCTCTCCTTTCTCCTCCTCATTCTCCTCCTCGCCCTGCGGCGGGGGCAACACCCATTTGGCAAAGGCGGCGATTCGCCCGGACGCGTCGTCCACGACTTTCAGCATGCGCACGTTCGGGTCTGCGAACCCCTGCGCGAGGTCCTGCTCCCACCATGCTCGCACTCCAGGAGTGCGGGGGAACAAGGTGAGCGAGAAGGGATCGACGAAGGAGGCCAGATAGATGGACGTGAGCTCGGGGACGTCCGCTGGCTCAGCGGGAGAGAGTATGAACGACATATCGGTAGCCACGTGTTCGATAGATTTACAATGAGAGAACTAAGATACGCAAATATCTGCAGAACGCCTCTTATGAGTCATGCTTGCAACAGAAAATGCAAGGAGTCAGGGCATTCATCTTCGGTTCCGACGAGCACGTAAGTATGAGCTTTTGCGTGGTCAAACGTTGCTACGTCAGATGTTACTGCTTGACGAGAACCCGACAACACCTTCCCGTTGGACGCTAAACGGAAGAGAAATATTCTTACATAGGTAATATAGTAATGTACACCCAACCTCAGGAGCCATTAATGGCCGGCCCGACAATGGTCGACTTGACTTTGAACTTCTGCAACTGCTCGATGAACGCGTCGTCCACGCCCAAATGGGCCTTCACCAACTGCGGGGGCGTCAACGCAAGCCACTGTTTTCGCATTGAGCGGTGAATCATGCAAGACGATCCGCGGTAACGTCGACCCTCACCTGGCTCAGGCTAACGTCTTCGAACCTGTCCGAGTTTTGGATCTCGAGGAAGCGGACGGTGGTGTTCCCGATGTTCTCCAAGTAGTGACCTGAAAGGGGGTGTGAGTGCGGGAGCATACGCAAGAAGGCATACGCGTACCGAAGGCTGCCGGCACGTAGCCTGGGCAGAGATCGATCAGCGCTAGCGCAGCATACTGGAACATAGACCATCAACACTCACTGATATCGCCAGCCTGCGAAGGAGGATAGTTGAGACGCTACAACTCTCAGTGATGCGACAGGGAACGGAGACGTACCTGGTAGTTGAAGGTGCGAGCGTTGGAGTCTGCGGCGAAGACGGTCATCCGAGCTTCGCCCTCGCTGAAAGCAAGACACTAAGTGAGTGACCGAACGCGGAAAATGCAACTTCGAATTTACATGACGTATCTGACGTACGCATCAGTAAGGTGATCCACGGGAGTGCTGGGCAGAACTTACCCCCATTCATCCTGCGTCGGGTGCCACTCAACACGGAACCTCAGCCTTACTGAAAATGAATGAAGAATAAGTGTTGCTTACGTGGAGCTCCCTATACAAGACAGGATTCAGATCTGCGTTCCGGGCATGTACGTTCAAACTTACCTCATCGCACCAGGTTCGATGGTCACATCCGCCACCGAGATGTTCCTCGACACCTTAAAGTTCCTCGTGTCCGCGATCTTCGTACTGCCGCCCGAGAGCCGCGTCCCATCCATCTGGGAAAGCGAGAACGTGAACGGATCCGGAACGGTGCCCTGCGGCGACTCCACATCCTTCGCGTCGTCGGAGGGAGGCGCTGCGGGGAAGATGTACAGTTGCTCGGAAGGTATGTGATCGAACGCGGAAATAGGGGTCTGGAAGTTACGGGCGAGAACCTCCTTCGGTACGTGCGAGAACCAATCGGTCAGCTATGTTCAGGGTCGTATGCCGGGTCAGCGTTGTTGCAGCTTCCAGCGATTCGATAAGCGCACCAGGAAGGTCCCGTCTTCATTAAAGTTGCCGTCAGGGAAAACCTAGTGTGCGGATGAGCATAGAGCATATGCGAGCTGCTGGAGTCAGATAACGCACCAATAGAAACTCGGCGCCTTCCGGGTCGTCTGCCGTAGCCTGAAGACTATGTGGTATACCCGCCGGGAAGTACCAGAGATCCCCTTGTTGCTGAACCCAACAATGAGAATATGTAGTATGTAGAGTCCGGAGCGTGACCGGACTCACGACAGTCGCTAGGTAGTTTCGCCCTTCGGTATCGATGGAGGTCACCTGGATCTTACCCTGAAACGTGTTCAGTTCGTGTCATTTCCATTGGCAGCTCTCGGCTCACCTTGAGCACGTATGCCCACTGACATATTTCGAACTACGGTCAGCACCACATCAGCCTGGGTCGGTACCGCACGAACCTCCGCGGCTGTGTGCCAGTGAAGTTCGCTGAATGGGAGGTACGGGGTCAGATATCGTAAAGAATACTGGGCTGACGAACTAACCGAACGGCGCCTGCTTCAAGGCGCATATTGACGCTTGCAAGTCCTATATGCGAGTCAGCGCGTAGCACGGGGAACTATGTGTATAGACCTGACCGGTTGCCGCCGGCATGTCATCGGCTAAGTAGGGTGCAGAAGTCAGCGGTCGAGGGTTAAAAAGATATGCGTAAACCTTACTGTTCTGCTGACGCGCCCATCCTCCGGTCTGCAGTCGGTTGTGGCTCAAAGAGAACGGCCACTTGAAGTTTGACCTGTGGTACATCCTATCGTCAACCTTTGCGATACAGAACCACCAGACGCGAAACCTCACACCGTGCCGTGGTCGGTCGTCGGCGGCGCAAGCAGGTCCGCGTTCTCGCGCTGCAGCGGCTCGTTCTGTGGGCCTATGATGTTCGCGCCCAGGTCGCCGCGGATGGGCTGGTAGGCCCCAGGCTGCGAGCTCGGGGCCCACAGGATCGTGTTCGGGCTGTCGCCGGCGGGCGAGACGGTCGCGGTCTCGCTAGGCGCGGACACCGTGATCGAGCCTGCAGGCGCGCATTGCACGAGCGTCGCGCAGACGAGGAGCGACGCGCAGGCGGTGAGAAGGTTGACCATGTCGGGCTTGAGGTAGGGTTGTGCGCTAGACTGGCAGGGGACTCGGAGGAGCGAGCCTGAATGCGTCTGAGCACGGTTGACGCTTATATTCGCGCGGCGAGGACAGCATCAGTCCAGGAGGTGTCGATCTGCTGTCTTCCCGATGTCCATGGCATCGTCATCGAGCCACGCCGCCGGTGTAGACGAAGCGTCGTACCAGGATTATCGCGCTTATGGGCCGCGCTCAGGGAAGCACTCGGAGCGAGACTCAGACAGGCCACCGCCGTCGTATGCTGACTCGCACCGTCCTGTGAATCTGATTCTTCGGCTAAGGCAATTCAATGGCAAGCTCGTGAACACTGAACGCCGGTGACCTTGACGTCAACCTGAGCTTTGCCGCTGCCTCGTCTACTGACGTCCATCTGTGCATAATCGAGTATACTAGGCTTCATAATATGTCAGATCTGTATCGTTCAGCGATGCACGCGCGCATTGCCAAGCTTCCTCCTGTGCCGACAACGTTATGGCCTGCCACCACGGCGCCATCGTACGATGAAGATGAAGAGGAGGACGAGGAGGATGAGCTCGACTCTCTTGGAGATCTTCCTACAGGCCTCGGGCCGCCCGCGATGTAGGCCCATATTCAGCCTCCCGTTTGATGGTCTGTCGTAACTTCCACGCATTGCCGTAGGCAGGCCAGCACATACGCCTCGGGATCGGTCACGCACCGTCACCCAGAGCAGGGTCGGCCAGAGGCAGAAGGAACAACGCGAGGCGGAGATTAACGAACGATACGCACCTATATCAGCGTCAGGATTCTTCGAACAGGCTCTGCAGGTTGCCGTCCCCAACAGGAATCTCGATATGAGGGTGTACTACACGCCGCCGCAACTCCCTCAGGGCTCGAACGGAAAGGGGACTGTTTTGCTGTGCCACCATGGTGCTGGTTATTCAGGACTCAGCTTTGCATGCTTTGCCAGGGAGGTCTGGGACATGACGAAAGGCGAGCTGGGCGTGCTATCAGTAGACGCAAGGGCGCATGGTAAGCGGACGACGCGCACGTTCAACGGAAGCTGTTGACACACACTCCGTTGTAATCCATAGGGAAGACGACATCGACATCGCAAGATCCACCTCAGCAAGAAGACCTATCAATTGATGTCCTCGTGCAAGACTTCGTCGAGTTGATCAAAGTTGTGTATCCGGATCCTGCTTCCTCTCCTACTCTCCTTGTGAGCAGACCTTGCTCAACAACACCTTCTATGACTAAAACGAACGCAGCTCGTCGGTCACTCCATGGGCGGCGCCATAACCACTCGCGCTATCCCGCTGCTTCAGACCTCCAGATACAATATCACCGGGACCGTCGTCTTGGACGTCGTTGAAGGATCCGCACTGGACGCACTGCCCCACATGAACAGCATCTTGAACGCCAGACCTGTTGGGTTCGATAGCGTTCCGAAGGCCGTGGAATGGCAGTACGTCCAGTATTTTCTTGTGGTCGCTGTATCGTCGCAGTTGACCACTTCCGTCCGTCCATCAGTGTGAACACGAACACAATCCGCAATGAAACTTCGGCGCGCGTATCTGTGCCCTCTATAGTGCACCCCACGCAGTTGAAAGTACCCTCGATGCCCGCTTACGAGTGGCGGACACCCTTGCGATCAACGGCGCCGTATTGGGAAAGTAAGTATCCATCGTCTGTGTGGCCAAACAGTCCCGGGGGTTGATACTGCCTTCACTTCAGGCTGGTTCCGCGGTCTATCGTCGTCTTTCCTCGCCGCTCGCACCGCGAGGCTGCTCATCCTCGCAGGCACCGACAGACTCGACCGGGAACTGACGATCGGCCAGATGCAAGGCAAGTTCCAGATGGCGGTCGTCCAAGGCGTTGGTCATATGCTTCATGAGGTGCGCTGTCTCGACTCCAGGCACTAGAAGCGGTTCTGATGCACGGCCGTACGCGTGCACAGGATGATCCAAGGAAGTTGGCCGAGATCGTGGTGGAGTTCTGGAAGCGGAACGAGAGGCTGCCGATCAACGTGAAGAAGGTGGGAGAGTTGTAAAACAGAGGAGTGGGGACGACGTGCAAGTATGGTCGTTGAGCCGATAGCCTCCTTGTAGCCCGTACAGATACAGATCAAGAGGGCAATTAACACGATATACGATGGAATTGATGCCTCAGGATCCTTGTTAATCAAGTATACGATGAGCTTTTCTTGATGACTTGGATGCAATAAGCGCGATATGCCTGTCAGAGTCACAGCCGCTGGAGGAACGAGATAACGGGTCGGTCCGATTTGGATTTGCAAATTGCTCAGAATGCTATGTTGAACTGGGTATCGTACATATTATATTTGGGACAGTTCCGCGTGCGTATGAGTGATGTACGGTGCAATAGTATGAGGACTGGACAGACTGGCAGTCACAGTCTCGGGTCGCAGAGAGGTGGAGATGGCACGGGATCGCCATATCTGCACTGATGCCTCGGTACCCGCCTGAGTTCCGCCTGCCAGACGTGATCGCGGGTGTTCACCACCTGAGTGATGAACCACTCGTCCTCGCTCTTGACAATTCCGTTCTCCTGTGACAAACGATTCCGATGAGGTCCTCGGGGCAACAAAGGAGGCAAAAACCTGCCTGGCAGAATTGCCTCAGTTGGTTCGCGACGATGCGTCCCAGCTGCGTCCGAGTGAGACCGGTCTGAAGATTCGGATCCCTGAGGTCGTGTCCGCTGCAACGTGTTATGCAAGGCATATAACCCGACCACTGTTGATCGTTCAGCGCCGTTCAAAGACGTCCGACTGATTTTTTCTTTCTTTCTTTACCTTTGCCACAAGCCAAAACTCGTCTTCCGTCTCGAACACGCTTTGACCGCCATTCAACAATTGCGGATTGTCGGGCAGTCGATCGCACTTGTACCTCCGAAACGCCGCGTCGAGGTTGATCAGTCTGCCACCCCGACCTTGAAAGTGAATAGGTGGCCTCAAACAATGTCCCAAAGGCTGATGGACAAGGAAGGACGGATCGGCAACACCCAGTGGCGTGTTATACGGAACGAAAGAGATATCCAGAGAGAACCGTGACAGATCACGAGCCGACTGGAAGTTGCGATTGAGTGCGATGCGCCTACTCGACGGAAGGGAATTATGGAGGCTCACGACAGTCTCACACTTCTCGGCGAATGGTACGGTGACGAGCACTATTTTCCCTGAGCCACAGTCATTGGCGAGTGCGCGAACAGACCCCGTACGATGCGCGGCCGCCGGTGCATACAATGGCACGTCCGCAGAAGGCGCCTGTGGTATCTCGAAAAGTGGGACACGAGCGGATTCTTCGTCCTTCGTAGTACTAATCCTTCGAAAAGATCCGCGGCCGCGGTGCGGCTGAAGTGCCATGTTTTCGAATGGGGTGCTCTGTACGGGAACCGATCTGGAAAAGACGCCGATAATATAAGCGCCGGACGTGAAAGTTTAGTCGAGTGGCGAGCGGTAAGAAAGCGGATGAGAGAAGGGAACCAAACCCGGAAATTTATAGGAAGGACGAGGGCCACAGCGGCTCGAGGGGCCACGGTCTTTCTTGACAGCCTTCCAAATTAGGTTAAGAAACAAAAACTAGGACAAAGACGGAGTGAAAACAGGTGTTGTCACCCAATCACATGCATGAGTGGCTCATCCAAGGTCAAAGCATGTCTTCATATTCCTCCGGCTGCCGAATAAAATCTGTAGTATCGTCAGCGCAAATCACAAAGTATCTTCTCGTCCCATAATCTATCTTGCGGCACCTTGAAACATGACTGTCGATCTAACGATCTAAAGCCGTCGAGTGGAGTTCGGTACTTCGCGCGAAAAATATGACTTCTGGGTGTCATAATGCGTCGCCGACAACAGTGCATGAAACGAATGAACGCCCTGCATTTTGTATGAACGCCCGTCTTGCTCAGGAAGGCGAGCAATGCGTCGATTGATGCATGTATTAAGCTCCGCAAATATAGTAGTGGAAGTCGGCCAGATGGTTCCCTTGCAGATGAATAAACTATGGGTGATGTGGCTCATGCATATGTTACCCTCTTTCCTGCACCCAGCGTGAGTGGAACGCATACACGGGAATAGGCGAATGCATCTCGTACCTCCGAATCAGGGTTTCTCAGAATTTCGCCAAGCTTGAGCCCTCCACGGTGTACCCTCTACTCGCTTTCCTCTCCAGTCTCTGCTCCCGGGCGTCCTTCACGGCGCTCGCAGGTACGTTCTCCACCTCGACCAACTCCTTGATCTTCAATATTTTCCCGGCCGTTTCCGGTGAATGCGGGTGGTACACTGTTTGATGCCGCCTCCTGAGACCCAGTGCCGCGACTGTGTCTTGTATCTTGTCCGGGAGTGAGATGGCGGAGCGCCGTAGGGTTATGCGGAAGTGAGTGAGGGGCTCTGAGTCGGAGGCAGGTTGTGACGAAGAGACAGCCTGTGCAGGCGGAGACGAGCACAGGGCGCGGCCGCTTGAGAATGCGCGGCTCGAACCTGCTCTGAGGAGAGCACGGTGAGTAAGGGTAATTGGGCTTGCCATCTGTGAACGACGGATCGCGACCGTTACGCACAGAGCAGGGACGCGACAAGAAGGCCCAACTGACCGTGCGAATAAACATAACGAAGTCCCATCAGTCCGCGTAACTGATCCGTCGACTTCAGTCTTCGGTGCGTCAAAATTTTGTTCTTGTCAAAAGCCAACGATGCAAACACCTGTACGTCGAATACTGCATGGTCATTCTCATCTGCTTAACAGAGATCAGACAGGGTCCTCATGCGCTCAATCGCTCGATGCAAAATCTCTGGTCGACTCATCGACGCAGCAAGGTTAACTTGAACACGCCTCCGACACCAGGAACGCCCCAAGATGAAGTGCTGCCGCTCACCAATCCGACGAACGGAGAACAGAATCAGGAACGTGCGGAAGGTACAAGCACGGATGTGCAAGCCAAAACCGAAGAGCCACCTGCACCTATTACCTCCACTGCACCCAGCAGCACGAAGCGCAAGGTCCGAACAAGGACGGCGACATCTGACGATCCCAACAAACGCGCAAAACTGTCCTCTTCTTCAGCGTCAAATGCGAAATCATCTGACAAGGACCACTCCCCTCCTACCACCCGTCTGTCAGACTTAGGAGGGGTAGGGGATGCAGTGGAAAAGATGCTAGAGCTGGTCGCCATGCCGCTCTGCCACCCCGAGATATATCTTCATACGGGTGTTCATCCTCCGCGCGGCGTGCTATTGCATGGTCCGCCAGGGTGTGGCAAGACCTTATTGGCAAACGCCATTGCGGGGGTACGTCTCTCTCTTTACCCACCCGCGTGCGCCTTTCTCATCGTTCTTCCCCCACACAGGAACTCGGTGTACCATTTATCTCCATATCTGCGCCATCGATAGTGTCGGGCATGTCCGGCGAGTCCGAGAAGACACTTCGCGACACATTTGATGAAGCCAAGGTGGGTGTCCCCTCTCCATCCCCAGTCCGCGGATCGCTCATGAAAACAGAAACTAGCGCCGTGCCTCCTCTTCATCGATGAAATTGATGCTGTTACGCCAAAACGTGAATCTGCGCAGCGCGAGATGGAAAGGCGAATAGTCGCACAATTTCTCACCTGTATGGATGGTAGGTCAACCGACTCCGGTGATGATATCAGGGCTGACTGTGATATTTGGCCTCCAGATATGTCTTGGGACAAAACAGACAATAAACCCGTCGTCGTCATCGGGGCGACCAATCGCCCCGATTCTCTCGACGCCGCTTTACGGCGTGCGGGTCGATTCGATCATGAGATTAGTATGGGAGTACCGGATGAGGAGGCGAGGACGCAGTACGTGCACATCTTTGTGATGCAATTTCCCTATGTCATGCGCACACTGTCGTCTTTTGTACTCGCACATCCGTATTAATCGCCGTAACTCACTGACGCGTCCCTTCGCAGGATTTTGCGTGTTCTATCGTCAAAACTGCGCCTCGAAGGCTCCTTTGATTTCTCTGCTCTCGCCAAAGCGACTCCTGGATACGTCGGGGCGGATCTTGCGGCGTTGACAGGCGCGGCAGGGATTGTCGCTGTGAAGAGAATATTTCAGCAGTTGAGCGAGGGTACCTTAGTGCTACCGGAAGCAGCGATTGCCGCCTTTACGAACGGTGCGGAAGACGAATCCATGAACGTTGACCGAGACCAAGACATTTCGGGTCACGCCACGTCGATACCGCTCGTGGGCCAGGAGCCGGCGACCGAAGAACCTCCTCGGCCAGCCCCTGCTCCGTCCGCGGCACGTCCAGCGCCGAGCGGGAAGCATATTCCCTTCGCCAACCTCTCTCTCCCCTTGCCATCACCGGGATCATCCATTCTCTCCTTCCTCCAAGCCCACCCGGACCCGCTGACCGAGGCGCAGCTCGCACCACTCTCCATCACGCTCGCTGACTTTCAAGAGGCGCTCACCCAGGTCCAACCCTCCTCCAAGCGCGAGGGTTTCGCAACCGTCCCGGACGTGACGTGGTCCGACGTCGGCGCGCTGCATCAGACACGGGAAGAACTCCACATGGCGATTGTGCAGCCCATCAGGCGGCCCGAGCTTTTCAAGGCGGTAGGGATCGAGGCGGCCTGCGGTGTGCTGATGTGGGGCCCGCCCGGGTGCGGAAAGACGCTTTTGGCTAAGGCGGTCGCCAATGAGAGTAGGGCGAACTTCATCAGCGTCAAAGGGCCCGAGCTGCTGAACAAGGTGAGGAGTTGTTGTCGATCGGAAGTCTGCCCCATGGTTTACACTGCGTGCAGTATGTTGGCGAGAGCGAACGGGCCGTTCGACAGGTATTCTCAAGGGCACGAGCGTCTAGCCCATGCATCATCTTCTTCGACGAACTGGACGCGCTCGTACCGCGCCGAGATGACAGCCTGGTATGTCATCTCGTTCCGCCACTTATCGCTCCGCTCTCAACTAACGTCGAAATTACAGTCCGAATCGTCCGCACGCGTCGTGAACACATTGCTCACTGAGCTGGATGGTCTGGACGCCCGCAAATCCGTCTATGTCATCGCGGCCACTAATCGTCCGGACATGATCGACCCTGCAATGTGCCGGCCGGGACGGCTCGACAAACTCTTATACGTCGATTTACCGTCGGAGGAGGAGAGGGCGGAGATCTTTAGCGCCGTTGCAAGGAAGTTGCCACTCGGGGATGGAGTGAGGGACGAGTGCCTGATGATGGTGAAGGAGGAGTGCGACGGATACAGTGGCGCCGATCTCACCGCCCTCGTTCGCGAGGCTGGTGTCGTCGCCCTCCGGCGAACTCTAGGCACTTTCGATCAGATGGAGACCTCCGGTGCTTCGGTCTCGTCTCCTCCGGGGGAAATCCACGTGCTGGTGACCGCGGAGGATTTCAGGACGGCGTTGGACAAGGTGCAACCGAGCGTGAGCGCCGCGCAGAGGCGAAGATACCAAGCTCTAAGGAGCAAGTTCGCTGGGTTACCGGTACGAATCGGCAAAGAAGAGGAGGATAAAAGAGTCGATGGTGCGGCAGTCAGCTCAGGATGAGGGGGCCTCATCAAACTCAAATCCTTTCACCCTCCGGATCCGAAGGGACACATGCATCCAGTCATCTACATTGACCCCGACGGGCTCCCAGAGGACCTGGCTACGTATTTGTGTCCGCAACGTCGACGTGTTCGCCAACCCCTGCGCCGTTCCCAGGGGATTCGTTCATTGGCAACGGCAAGAGACACAGCATAAATCACCGCAAGCGACGCAGGCCTATCCGACTTCGCGCTTCCGGTGGCTTTCTCCTGGTAATTACATCTTGAACTCGACTGTTCTGTCGGATGATTCGTAGTTCTGGTTTGATGGGCCCAAACTGTAGTCTGTAGAAGGCTGCAGCATACACCTGTGTGGAACTTGTAAGGCGGCTGTCAATTGTTAGTCTAGGGATGCAGAAACCTCAGTTCTTCATTAGAGACGTTCTGTTCCAATAATCATTGGAAACCCAATACCGGATCTCAATTGGAAAACAGAACGTCTCCACTCAACAGTGTACCGAACCGAACCGGAAGCCAAGCAGATATGAGTTCAAGACGCGCCTGTCCTGAACGCCCCCGTGCATGCTTCATCCGTCATATGGCTGCTATCTGCCGGAACCGTGGCGCGATCGTCGATGTCTTCCTTCCCATTCTCCTGGACAAGGCAGCTGCCCTCGGACCGGAGGTCATGCCGGGCATTTTTCTGCAGTTCAAGCTTCGGGAGCTTGCAAGGACGCCGTCTGCGTATATCATCGACGAGGATAATATCAGGTTCTTCTCGAGGGACCCTGCCGATGGGGACGGGCAGACGTTGCGTCCGTATATCAGCTTGATCATGGAACTGGGAGTCACCAACCCTCCTTCGCTACTGCAACGAGAGCCCACACGCCATCATTCGCAGACGGCTGCTGTACCATCCAAGCAGAAGCATCAGTCTGGTAGTCCTCCGCCCATCCAGGCGTCTCTTCTGAACTTGGACATCTTTACGGATTCATCTCGAAGCTACAAGAAAGATGCGCACCCGCGACATAGTTTGTACGTCTATGGGTGCTCGCCCTCGGTTTACAAGGTCATCTCGGAACCGGAGCGTCCTCTCTACAAACTCATCCTGCGCAGCGGAGATCCGCTCGGGGAGCACTCGCAAAAAAATGACGAGACGCTGTCTGCAGTTTGGAATCAAAAGCCCTTCTTTGCTCTCCGGCACGGGTGCTGGGACTGGTTGCAGAGTGAGGTTTTGAACGAGGACATGCCGATCGCTGATGGAGAAGGGATAATCGTTGGGTGTCGTTTCGAAGCGCTGTTGATGATGAAGAAGAGAACGGTGAGAATGCCTTCTAATCCCCCTGGATGCTCTGGTTCGAAACCATGTATTTGTATTGCAACACGTTGAGGTCGAAAAAAGTTGTATTGCTCCATCGTCTACGTCGTACTTTTGCTAGAGATTTCCTCCTGTAGGGACTGCGATTATCAGTTCCAGGTAGAGACGATTCGTCTCTTGGGTGTTAATGTATGCGGCTGACCCTTTCCCCGTTAAACACGCCACCCTCACCACCTAAACAAGGTGCCCATATCCAGCCCGGCACGCCGGGCGGGATCGTCGTTTACGATCGAGTTGAGAAGGAGGCCGGATAGAAACTATGTAGTATTATAGTCTACCATACGGCGTAGCCGCACTGGACTATAAACACAGAATCACACACCCACAATGTATGCGGCCATGACATCTATGTAGCATCAGGCAAGCGCTCGCCGCGATGAACCCTTGGCGCAGTGGTAGCGCGTGTGATTCCAGCTACTGGAACCTCCACAAGGTCGTCCGTTCAATCCGGGCAGGGTTCAAGAACATTTTAATTACCTCTCATTACGTCTTTTTGGACGCCCAGGAGCTACAACGCGATACGAGCGGGTGGTCTGGGAGCCTGCCTCGCCCGAGCAATGCTCCTGACACAGACAGCTGCAATGAAGAGCATATGGGACGGGATGTACGCTTGCGCAGTGATAGCCAAGATATGGAGCCAACGTTGACGTCTACGTTAATTGTCGCAAGCTTACCTGAATGATGAGGGAGGAAAAATATCCGGACGATGATGCAGATTCATGCGAGCAACCGGGATAATCAAGAAAAGGCGGTCTATTGTACATACATGAACAGAACTAGCGTTTATCCAAGCCATGGAGACAACGTACTGATGCTTTCCCTCCTTCGTTTCAGCCTCCTGTAATTCCCGCTTATGACAAGAGCGGCCATAGGATGTCTTCTGGATCGATGGATCGGAACACCGGACGTAAAAAAGAGCCGATCTTGCACGTCGTGAGATTGCGTCGATGTGACTGGCTAGTGGATGCGTACCCATCGTCGTCGGTCATGCAGTCAAGCAAAGCCCAGGATATTGTTCGCCTCCACCACCACCCGGCGTTCCCCCTCTCGAACAATACTGCCAGTGTTAAGCGCAAATGGCTCCAGGCCAAGCATCCGCCTTGCCTCGACATCTTCCACGTCCTCCGGCTTGGAACGGTGTACAAAGGAGGATTCGCCTTTGCCTCCGGGGAAATCACTTGGAAATGAGATCCATGGTAAAGATCAGACGGAAAGGTAAGAAGAGAATTCATAAACGTACGGTGCGGGCAGTCCAGCAGCGAAATGTGCTCGCTGAGATCGCAAGTGAAGAGCGCTAAAGTGTGGGTAGAGAGGAATCGTGAATGCATTGCAGGATGTGTGAACAAACAACTGGGACGTACTTCTGTCTGGTCAGAGGAACAGCAGGAATGTATAGTACACTGGAGTCGTTGGCTCCAAGTTGTTCTTCCTCGACCGCATGAGTCACGTCGCAGTGCCCTAGAAGAGGCAGTACGGATATCATCAGCCTTTGGGTAATCCTGTGTCAATTGCACGAAATGATTCGTACAATATACATGATCTCCAGGTTTCACGGGTGGGACAGGAATCATAGTCTTGTCCAGTCGAAGATGTGGGTGCATCTCTTGGCTGACGTCGAAGGTTTTCGCCGGAATCGCCCCTGGGAAGTCTGGGTTGTCGAGATCCACAACCCAATCGTCGAATCCGAGAGGCAATGTATTCCCGTACGTGTTCGACGACGAGCGGTGAACGACCTTCGGGCGGAAGAACGGACGAAGGATGAGGTATGCGGTGGATAGCTTGACGTTCGGGAACACTCGAAGCGTTCCTTCCCGAGGACCGGTATTGGACAACGACGTCCATCCTTGGAAGGGACGGAAGATAGAGCATTGGTTGCTGCGCGTAAATCGGTCAGGAAGGGCTTTCGAGAGTGAAACACAAAGGATTGCATACGGAGCCTCGTAGAGGTCTTGCCTCGCATTTATGCGCGGGGATGCATCCCAAGGGTCATGATCCCTCCATGCGCTACCTCCCTTGAGGATGTTTCCAAAGCAGCTCCTAAATGTGGGGTCCTCCCAACGTTCGATACTTCCGCCGTCGATGTGAGGACCCAAGAGTTTCATGTAGCCGGTCTTGCGAATCCGGAGGCGATCAAAGTAGGACACGGGTGTGGAGAGGCTTATCCGAGATAGAGGGTCGGATACACGCCACAGGTTCAGAAGAACCTTATGCACATCGATCACGGATGGATGCGTGCGTGCCAAGGTCTGTGTCACGCTGTTGTATATCTCATAGAAGACGATGTTGTCCGGTGGGAAACCTATGGGGTAATCCCAAGTTAAATGGGAGTTATATGAAAGGATACCACAAGGATCTCACCTTTGACGAGAGATTCGTTCTCGGAAATGTATGCCAAAAGCTCCTTCTTCCATGCGACTGCTTCCTGATCAGACGTAATCAAACGGTTCGCGTGATTGACTTTGAGGACAAAAAAACGGACGCGTACCTCTTCGGGAACCACGCTCTGCACGACGACTGTACCAACACGTTTGATGGCATCTACCTGCTCTCGTTTGAGTCCGGCAACAACCTCGTCTCGTGTGACTTGCGGTATCAGCTACGCCAAATGCGCATTAGCCCATTGCTCTGTGCGGGATATTGCAGCTGTTAACCTCGTTTCCTCGAGCTTCAATCTCTTCGGTCGCGACTTCGAGTTCGGCAAGCACCTGTCTCCAGCTCTCAATCAGCTCGTCCTTCCATATTTCCTTCTTCAGGGCCACAAAGCGGGTCGGCCACTGGTAAGGTTCCTCCGATGAAAGCGACGAGAAAACGGTGCTAATGTCCCCTTCCGACTTGATATGAAGGTCGGACATGGTTGCCAGACAGCGACGGCCTGGCTTCGCAAGTATCAGATGCCTGAGCGCGGGGGACGACCTAGGAGCACGGAACATGATAACGGAAGAGTGGACGACGATTAGCGTATCACACACCTCCCCCATGCTTTATACAACCGGAGATTATATAACCACTTTCACGATGGCATGTGAATTAGACAACGGAAAAGCAGCAGCTCTTGAGATCCTAGCCGATTGGGGACGGGACCCAGATATGTTGAAGCAGGTCGCGTAGGTGAGAGTATAGTCCGAGGATTCCCCGACGCTCTTGCCGCAGCTTGCCTTACGGCCAGGAGGAAGATGCTGATTGCGTTCACGTCCAGACGGATTGTAACTTGGCAATATGCTGCGGCTTACTCGAGGTTGCGATGCCAGCGGGGCAAAAGCAGACTGCACACAATTATGACCAATGGAGAGCTGGCTCGAGCTCCAACCGTTTGCGCTCCCGACTCCATCGATAGGGCATGTGCTATGATCGTCGTCCGTCTTTGCCTCGTTCTTCGTCCTGAACTTGCACCAGCCAACCACATACTCCACCAAAATGGCTAAACTGACAATGCAATCCACCGTCAAAGTGGGCAGGCAATTGCATAATGACGATGCTCTCGTGGGTTATTGACGATGTCGACCGAATCAGTTCCATGACGGGAATGAGATACCGGTTCTCGGTTTTGGTGAGCATAGTTTCCAAACGGACGGTGCTGGTCGGTTGACGGGATTCGAAGGAACGTACGAACTCGATGGCAAGGCCGCTTACGATGCAGTAACTTGGGCGTTGGAGGTGTGTATCCTGTTGACTTCTGCGGACAAGTTGCGAGGTAATGATACGAATTTACCCACTAGGCGGGCTATCGTCACATTGCAAGTCGCACTTCACTCCCCTCAGAGGCATAGCTCACGGACGAAAAGGATTCCGCGGCGTGGTACGAAAACGAGCGCGAGGTTGGACAAGCCATCCAAGACTTCTGCTCTTCGACCGGCACACCCCGCTCGGCGATCTTCTACACCACCAAACTGAAGCTAAACAACGGGTATGCCAACGTTAGAAAGGCAATCGATCGATCACTCTCCGAATGCGGATTGGAATACATCGACCTGTACCTCATCCACGGACCTCTCGGTGGCCCGCAAATGCGGAAGGAGAGTTGGAGAGCGTGCATTGATGCGAAGAAAGAGGGAAAGCTACGCAGCATCGGGATCAGCACGTTTGGCGTGGGTCATATGAAGGAACTCTTGTCCGAACCTGGGGTAGAGGTACCAGTGTGCACGCAGGTTCGTCGTCTTCATGCTGCAATCCCGCATTCTATCTGGTCGAGATTCTTACTTCCATCTTATGTCTTTCGACTGTCAGATTGATCTTCACCCATTCATGACCCGCACGGACGTCGTCGCTTTCTGCAAGGAACATGATATCAAACTTGAGGTGCGCTCATAAACCATAGGGCGCACTTCCCTTAGATTAACACTGCGTGCTACGTAATAGGCGTGGGCCCCGCTTGTGCGGGGTTTACGCTTCGATCACCCGTCCATTGTCTCTTTTGCCCGAAAGTACAGCAAGCAACCAGCGCAGGTGTTGATCAGGTGGTCCCTCCAAAAGGTGACCAAACCCCCGTTGCGTTGATATCACGCAGTATCATTGACCACTTGTTCGTAGGGTTTCATCCCCATTCCGAAGTCCGCTTCCAAACACCGCATCACGTCCAACGCGGATGTTTTCGACTTCGAGCTGACTGAGGAGGACATGGCCCACCTCGATAGCCTGGACGAATGTGAGCTATCCTCACGACGATCTCCTGTCCAATAGCTGAATACCCGACGGCAGACCTCGTGACTGATTGGGATCCGACGAACTGCGCATAAAGAAGCGTTCTCGCACACCAATCTGAAAACGTAAAGGGGCCGGGGCTATGGGGGGTGTTGACAAGCCTGTCGCGCAAGCTGAGGTCATAGGTCGTATCCCTACGAAAACAAACGAACGTACGATGGTCGGTAACCGAGAAATAATGTGCGGGATTGTATTGAAATGAATGCGCTGGCTACCGGAGGGCCCTCGCGCAACTTTGTGTTCACGTTTCTCCACGTTCCTCATCAACGATCCAGACTGTTATACCAACGAATCGTGCATACATCTCGACTTTTCACTCCCCTGACGGCGGCGCGGAACTCTTCGCTCCATGGTTCAGGAAACAGTCTTGTCGCATGGAGCTCATTCCCAGACCAGAGCCGCGATGAATTCTCGTCAGGACACCGCTGTCGAGTGTCCTCCTCATCTTGACAGGGTCGGCGACTTAGTACCCTATCGTTCATACGTGCCCAGGTCCTTGTTTCCTCAGTCCCAGCATTCACACCGCAACGAGTGCCAAATGGCCGTCGAGCCTGCACATGAATTCATTAGTCTCGTCATCGCTTGACACGATACTGGCTATCACAAAGGACGCAATTTGTGTAAGGAAGCTTATTATGGGCTTATCAGCAAGACAGTCCGTGTGCGGAAAAGGCCCTCCAGATCTTCGGAGTTCACGAACCGGCAGTGTCGACGTCGGCTCGGAACTATCGAAGCACTGAAGGCGTGGACACGCGGAAGCAGCAGCCTCCTCCGGCACACGACGCAGAGCTGGCGATATTGTACGGAATGCGAACGCAGGAAACCGTACTCCTGGAAAACTCGCGCGGTATGTCATGAACGACGGGTCGTAACAAGAAACCGGTACACGGGTTCAGGGTTGTTGGCACACATGATCCAGGTACGCTGGCCCGTATATGCTGGCACTGCCAAAGGAACTGATCATGCAAAGGTAGACAAAGCAGCACGATAAGGCGATCGCAGCAATTATTTCCAAACTGGGATCTGTCCGTGGTACGGCATAGGCAACGATATCGAGTGTAGACTGTAGTCGAGATGTGCTTCGTAAAACGCAGATACCGTACAAGTCATAATATGCGAAGCCGATCATAATCATCGATTCATGTACCTCCGACTGCTATGTCTCAAGACGGATTGGAAGGGCCAATGACGGTAGCTTTGGTCTTCGTCAACTTGGCCACCGTGGCATCGTCAATCCCAAGATGGGCCTTCACCAGCTCCGGCGGAGTCAGGGCTAACCACTGGTTAACGAGTAGATGAGTGTCAGGGTCGGACATATAAGGGAGGTTGAGCGTTCGTACCTGGTTCAAACTGACATCCTCGAATCGGTCGGAGTTGAAGATCTCCAGGAACCGCAGAGTAGTGTTTCCGACGTTCTCGACGTAGTGACCTTCGAGACGTTCAACGGAGTCTACCGAATCAGTACTACTAGAACGCACCGAAAGACGCAGGGACATAGCCTTGAGATGTGGTTTAGTCAACGTCAGAATGTATATCTGTATCACGCACTAATATCGCCAGCCTGTCCCCAAGTTAGTAGAGCATGGGGCGTAAAAGCAACTATGTTACCTGGTAGTTGAATGTCCGAGCATTAGAGCTTGAAGCGAAAACGGTTACGCGGCTCTCTCCCTCGCTAAAAGTATCAGTAAATGGAGATTCGACATTGGAATAGCGATCCTTGAACGAACAGGACATAACTATAGCGGAACTCCGAATTAGAATCCGGGTACACCGAGCAGTATTACTCACCCCCACTCGTCCGCAGTAGGGTGCCACTGATGATAGGGTGTTAGTTGTGAAACACGACGTCATAACACCCGAAGTGGTTGCTAGTCTTACATGAAGCTCCCTTATAAATCGTGCCGTGTTGAGTGAACGTGATGAGAGTCACGACCACGAGCTTACCTCATGGCCCCGGGCTCTACAGTGACTTCGGCCATGGCTATTGTCGTCGAAACCTTGAAGTTGGTGGAATCCACGACCTTGACGGAGCCTCCAGCAAGCTGCGTGGCATTCACCTGGGACAAGGGGAATGAAAACGGCTCAGGTACGGTTCCCTGGGGTGACACAACGTCCTTGGCCCCTTCCGGTAGAGGGGCTATGAAGGATTAAGTAACTGAATTCGGTCTTAATATAATGCGACCTACAGCTCGGGAATATATATAGTTGATCCCCGGGAAGATTGTTCCAGGCAGCAATATCCGTTTTGAAGTTCTTGGCGATCGTTTCCTTCGGTACATGCGCCAGCCAGTCGGTGAGCTGAAATAGTGTCACTTAGACGGTCGCAGGGTACTGGCGGGGAGGAACATACAAGGAATGTCGAGTCCTCGCTGAATTCGCCGTCATCGAAGACCTTGAAAGAATACATGAGTGTCCGTGCGCAATACGTTAGGAATTCCCTTCTCACCAATAGAAACTCTGTACCTTCGTCATCGTCTCCAGTGGCCTGGAGACTGTGAGGTATCCCCGGAGGGAAATACCACAAATCACCGGCGTTCTGTGAATTCCTTAACCATAACAACCGTACATGAGACCTGTGAGATACTTACGACGGTCGCCATATAGTTTTGGCCTTGTGCATTCACGGCGGTAATTTGGGTCGAACCCTATCAGAGACCCCTCAGGCCCAAGTCAAGTGATGCACGCAAGCAAACACACCTTCAGAACGTATGCCCACTGCGCAGCGCGGTGCTGTCAGCCCAGGAATAATATCATTCAAATCTACGCACCTCGGACGTCTTGTGCCAATGAAGCTCACTTGATTACTTGTGAGCTAGGAAGGATGCAATTATTGAGTCAACTACTAACCGAATCGCGCCCTTTTCGAGGCGCATGTTCACAGCAGCCATCTCTGCGAATCACGTCAATGGCTGAACAACTGGTCTGCTCGGAGCGACTGTGCACTCACCCGTAGCAGCAGGAAGAACATCGGCTATAACGGACACGGCAAGGATCAGCGTTCCGTACATACCTGAATACCATAACGAAACACCCACTATTCTGCTGGCGGGCCCATCCCCCAGTCTGGATCCTGTTATGACTAAGACTGAAGGGCCATTTGAAGTTTGCACTGAATTTTGAACATGAGTAATAAGGAATTTCAGAGTAGTATATACGACTTACACAGTACCGTGATCGGTGGTAGGAGGAGCAAGGAGGTCAGCATTTTGCTGCTGCATAGGCACATTCTGCGGGCCGATGATGTTACTCCCGAGCGAACCCCGTATGGGTTGGTACGGCTCGGTCGCGTCAGCGCCGCTTGGTGGATCATCGGGCGTCCACATGATGGTGTTAGGGTTATCGCTTGCCGGAGCTACGGTTTGCGTGACAGCGGGGACGGCTGACGTCGTGGAGGCGCCGTCCGAGGCAGACACATCGGCAGTCGAAACCGCGGAACTGGAACCAACGGCAGGAGCAGATAATGAAAGGTTAGCAGCCGTGCTTGTGGCCGGCGAGGACGGAACACTTGAAGCAACCTGGCTGACCGCGGGCGCGGCGACAGCGATGGTCGCAAAAGCGAGCAGGGTAAGGAAGGTACGAGGAAGGCGCAACATGTTAAGCTGAGCGGACCCTGACGCCCTGAGGTCACCTTTAGTGGCGCTTTTATATTGCCCGGGATTTGGAAGACTTGCTCAATGCAGCCCCAGACTCAGAGTATGCGAGAGTGCCGACCGGTGTAAGGTTGTCGCAAGGTTCGCGAGACGCGAGACACGGACGCGGAAGCGAGAGGCAAGCGATGTTTATTGGACTTCTTGCTCAACGTGGAACGCGGAGATACCAAGAACGCAGCTGAGCAGACAGGGCTGACTTCGAGTTGCTCATCTTGCGCATCGACCACCTGGATGCTGTAGCCAATACGAAGAGGATGATTAAAAATTCCGATCGCTGGGTGCAGTCGTTGTCTCACATGAGGACATGCTCCTGACGACCGTACCCCGTGTTTGCACGGATGAGTGATACGAAGTGTGAGATGCTCCGCGCAGCGACCGCATTAGCGGTTGAGCCCGGAGCAACGCATCCTGTGTTCATGCCGGAATCGAGGGGTCCTGTAGGATCCTGAACGTTACGCAGAAGGTGAGAAGCAAGAAGCGTCATATCTGGGCCTTCGGAGATGCGCAAACCCAAACAAAGGCGGGGTTTCCCCGTGAGGCATTTCCCGCGCGGCGAAAGTCGAGACGAAACGAGGTGTGCAATTGCAATAGACGCCGACGCGTACCACGAGTTTCCGTTCTTAACCAACTAGTGTGCCCGTTGCCGGTCGCGTGATCTCGGCATGCGTCCTATTTTCTAACACAGAATCTCGAAATAGCGCAACGAGAAGAACTGCGGGTGTGTGGTGTCCTTCCGTATCGCGGAGCATCGACGTAAGGCGTCGTCAAGATTGATTTTCGGCGTCACCCTGACATCGATTGAGAACGTTGGCAGATTACAGTTCTTCGAAGAAAGGTGACCGACGTTTGACGTACGGTATGGCACCAAATCCGCTATCAGGATCGGTCACACCATGCAAGAGTATTCTGGTCAGAACGTTATTGTTCCAAGGCGCTCGTACGGACAGGCTAATGCAAACGTACGGAGTTCGGTGTTCAACACGCATCTGCGCTGCACACCGTGGCATCAGGGCCCGACTCCATATGATGTCTACTACTTCAGGTCACGTTGCGATCCGTTGACCTTGGAAAAAACATCCGGGTAGCGGTCAGGAACCGTATGATTTTATTTGCTGAATCATGGTCAACCTCTTCGCCATCTGCGACGTCCCGTAGCTGTTGATCATATGATGATGAGGTTTGGGACATCGGGGGCGTCGAATCCATACCGGACATCGGCTAACATTTCAAAACTCTGATCTTTGCGCCATTTTCCAACATGGAGATAGCTTGGTCAACAGTGATGAACCAGCTAAACCCTTTGTGATATCCTTCTCCTCCCATGCTAACGGGGTACTTGTACTGTCGAAAGGCTGACCTGTATGGCAATGCCTGAACATGCATATGCAAGTGATTGACCGAATCTGAATCAGGCACAATCAGTTTGGTTTCGTGTACCTCTGGAACGGAAGAAGACGGCGTACTGAATGGTGGTATATGAAAACCTAATCTATGGATAGAAAGGTGACGATGACAGATAAGAATATACTTCAGGTCATACCTACGTCGGGTCCGCGGAATCTCCAGCCTATCCAGCATGAGATCGCCCAAAGCACGCATATCACGTACTGCGGCACACATTACGACAGCCATTCACGCGGTTGATATTTAACTCACACATTGAAGCGTCTGATTTGCCGAGAGATTTGACACTATTTATATGGATCCTCGGAATGACCTGCAGGTGATGTTCTGCCGAGGGATTGTTATCACGAAAGACCACATAGGTGGCGTCCTACACAAGCACGCGTCGTTCGTCAGTTATACGGTATATCGTATGTTCAGAACGCCCTCGCACCTCATAGACAACGTCAAAACCGTTGTCTCTCGAGGCTTTACAAAATATGCAAGGCTTGCTTGAATCGGTCGATTTCGACGCTTGATCGTGTTGGTTTCCAAAGATTGCGAACAACCCGAACATCCCTCTAGTAGAGTTTTCGGGGGCTTAATCGTGTAGTATCGCAGCAGCTAGATGGAACTCGAGAGCCCGAACGACGTAGGTTATCCGTAAACGAGAAACCACACCGTCGCCATTGCGCGCGTCAAGTCAGGTGGAACCGCCACGTGCGCTCCGCCGCCGATGCTGGCGTCACGTGACGATCGCCACTCGATCGCCGTCATCGCGCCTTACCCTTGATTAATGTTCCAGTCGATTGACTTGTAATCCCTATGGATCTGGACCTTGAGGAAACCTTGGAATCTGAGTTGAACTCTGGCGGCTGCTCTCACATCCAGAGTGTTCTCGAAGACGACGAGCTTCGAGCGAGTATCTCCCGCCAATACAAGGCAGTGGTAGCATGGAATTACCGACGTGCTCAAGTAATGGCGAACCCAGCCAAACGTCGCAAGGTGAGTTCTAATTATCTGTCGTGATACCTAGTAGTGACGGCGTCCAGATTTCCTCGCCGACGTGCGGCAGTTGTAGATTGACGCTGTCCCGACCGTTCGCATGCCTTTCCTGTACCTTTACGGGATGCTGGACACGCCGCGACAACCACATAGTTGCTCATCTGGAGGATAACGATCATGACTTCTGTACGTCCAGTAAGATACATGGTTTCATTATCGGGCATTGACGATTCGTCCTTCACTACCCCCTGCATGTCTTCACGCGTGTAGGCGTCGATGCACAAAGTGGTAGCATATACTGCGCCAGATGCTCCGACTTCATCTATGATCCTGCCATTGAAGAGCTACAAGCTCTGACGTTGCTTTCCCAGGAAGAAAAGGCCACCAGATTCCAGTGTTAGTACTCTTAGATGAACTCCCCAAGGCCATACTAACCTTGAGTCTGCGCAGACGCCAAGCAATTGCGGGAACCGTATAAACCATGGAAACCGAGTGATGTACCCTCATCCATACTCTCCGATTATACCCCAATACCATGCCAGAGTAAGCTGTTCTCGATACTGTTATAATCGCGCAGGTATTCAGCTTCACTTAGGCCGTCGAGGACTCCTGAACCTTGGACAGACTTGCTTCCTGAACGTCGTCCTCCAATCTCTGATTCACAATCCACTTCTCCGTAACTACTTTCTTGGCGACAAGCACAATGTTCGTTTATGCAAGCTCAAAGAATGTACGTGTTGCGAGATGGATGCTCTGTTCCGAGAGGTGCCTGTTCCTCATCGTGTCCCCGAACTGTCTAACGATCGTTTCAGGTCTACTCGGGCGAGCAGGCCCCTTATGGCCCTACCAGTTTTCTGGCTACCTTGTGGAAGGCTTCATCTGAATTGTCCGGATATGCGCAGCAAGACGCACATGAGTGTTTCATCTCTATTCTGAACCAAATACATGGTACTTCCCGTGGCTCAACGAACGTTTCCTGCAATTGCATTATCCACAGCACCTTCCAAGGTCAGCTGCAGAGCGATGTGCGGTGCGAGCGCTGCGGAAATGTCACGACCACCACCGATCCCATGCTTGATGTTAATCTGGAACTCAGGGGAAAGGGTGGCAAGGTCTCAGGAGAGAATACCCTACTCGGGTGCTTGACGAGGTAAGTCCTGTTATTGCGTCCGATTGTGCTATTAATGGGCCTGACCTCGGTATCAGATTCACGCACCCGGAGAAACTCGGGCCAAAAGAGTACAGCTGCAGCAGATGTGCCAAAGGCTCACATGTAAGGCATCTCGCCTTTTCTGTCGGGCGCCGCGTTGAGCTCCCGTAGGAAGCGACAAAACGGATGAGCATACGGAAGCTCCCACCGGCGTTGAGCTTCCAGTTCAAGGTTAGACCAGATATTCTCCCGCTTCCAGCGCTCCCACACTGAACACTTGACCCTGTGGACCATAGCGCTTCGAACACAAATCAAGCGACAAAGCGACGGCACAGAAGATTGACGCCCCGGTCCGAATCCCTTCGATGCTAAACATGCAGCCATACACGACGTTCATCATGAACGGCGGGAATGAGAAGGGAAGCGGAAGTGCCGGGGGGTCCGATTCGTAAGTTTGCCTGTCAATAGGCAACGAGATCCTGTTGGCTGACTAGATTAGATTCGGTCACCCGGGACCCGGGGAGCTTTACGAATACGATTTGTTCGCTGTGATCTGCCATGAGGGGCAAATCGACAACGGGCATTACTACAACTTCGCTCGGTTTCAAGACGAGGTGCGTCATTCCTTCATCGTTGACCCCTCGGCCGTCGTTCATGCCGCAATCTCCGCATGCAGTGGTATCGCTTCGATGACGACAAGTATGAACGCAGTGCATTTCTGTCTCCATTTTTGTCTCATTGGTCTGCAGGGTCACCCATTCGAACCTCAAGGAATGCCTGAATTCTCCCGCGTACATGTGTTTCTACGTCAAGCGCCATTTGGAATATCGGCAGAACAGGAAGGCCGCGTATCAGCTCGCGCGCGAAGCCGACATTCGGAAAGAGGAGGAAAGGGCAAAAGAAGAAGCAGAGCGGGAGAGGGAGCAAGAAGCTGCGAGAATGAAAGAGGTGGAAGACGCCCTTCTGGCGACTGTTTGAGCGAGCTTTCGAGTTCCTTCCGCATTAGCTACGATAAACGGATATATCTATACAGTGAACAGAGCGTCGGTATACAACAAGCAGAAGGGGGGGAGATGTCCGTATGGGGAGAGGGACACAGCACGTTCTCAAGGGATAATCTGGTCAAGCTCGCCTTCCTCAACGCGGATCTCCACAACCTCAACCTCGCAGCCACCTAGAGACGAGGTGAGGAATTTGTCCGCGTTGGGTGGAGAAGTCGACGCGATGTCTGTTGCACACTCGTCAGCCGTATGCGATAACGAGACAAGGTCATAGGACGCACATCGATCCTTGATATACGGCGGTACAAAAAGATCCTAATTGGGTGTCAGCGTAGCACATAAGGCATGGCGATCGATCACCATCTGACCTGATTCCAAACGAAGCCCTGGCTCTTCTGTATGGTCAGAATCGGACGGAGATTGAAAACAGGTTGACGAGGTTTTCGCTTATTGTCCTGCTTCTTAGCCTTGGGAGGAGACTGAGGTTCAGGGTCGACGGCACGCTGTTTGCCCTTGATGTCTTTGCTGTTGGACTGATCTCCGGCGCTGTCCCCGGCCTCGTCCATATCCATGTTGTCGACCTCGCCAGTACCATCGCAGCGCTGCACTCCGTAGTTCTCGTCGTCCTCAGAGCAGGAGGAATGGTCATCCGCATCTTCGGAGTCGTCAGACTCGTCGCTGTACTCGTCGTACGGTATTTGCTCGTAGCATGCCCAGACTGGCGGGGACGGCGCACGGCCAAACGTCCTCCGAGAGAAAGGCGAAGCCGTTGCCGGAGCACTTGAAGAGACGGTCGTAGAGCCCATTCTAGATGAGATCGCAGGTAGAGATGCCGATGGATAGCTGCCTGTGAACCAGCCGACCCATGTGACGTAGTGCAATGCGCGGCTTACCCGTAGTTATATTCCGTCCTGCGAGGTGTAGTTATCGATTGTGTGCCGGCTAATAGATGATTGTTGAGTCGAATGCCCGTCGTCGATGCTGGTGGTATGGAGGAGAGGCTGGGGCGGCTGCCCGAACCGGCCCATATCGGGCATGACTCGGCTTCCCAGGCGCCACGCCGGAGCGGCGCTGTATAGCCGTGGCTGCACTTGAACTAATCCAAATCCTACTCGTTTACCCTGATATTCGATCGTAGAACTGGGCACTCATGGCTGGCTCACGATTCTCGTACGTTAAAAACTACGAGATCGCAGACCCTTTGCTTCCCGGCACGTTCATACTGGCCAGGGTGGATGGTCGGGCGTTTCACCGGTAAGGCGCGAAGGATGTAATGTGCCCGGTAACGAGCGAGTTTAGCGCGATGTTGAGCGTGTTGTAGCTTCTCTACCGAACATGAGTTCACCAAGCCCAACGACGAACGCGCTCTGAATCTCATGAATTGTGCTGCTCGCGGTGTCATGACGGAGTTTAATGACATTATCCTCGCTTTTGGAGAGTCGGATGAATTTAGGCATCGTTCTTTCTTTGCTGTGATCACTCGCTATACTGATTGTCTTTGCGCTCTGCCAGCTTCCTGTTCCGCAAGTCTACCTCGCTTTATAATCGGCGAATGTCGAAAATCTTGACAGCACTCACCTCGATATTCACATCCATGTACATGTTTCACTGGGCGGAACACTTCCCGCAGAAAGCGCTCAAATACCCGCCGTCCTTCGACGGAAGAATAATCCTGTATCCGTCCGAGCAAGAAGTCAGGGATTACTTCGCGTGGCGTCAGGTCGATAGTGCGTGCTATCTAGGCAGTGGAATTTAGTTTCCATATTGGCTCTTGTAACATTGTACCTATATCCAGCGCACATCAACAATCTTTACAACACGGCTTTTTGGGCACTCGTTCAACAAGGCGCTCACAGCACGGCAGATGCACACGCCGTGCTCCGGGTAAGCTCTTGCCAGATTAACTCCTCGTTGAGTTGCCGACACGCATTCGATGCTCTATCAGGGCACCCTATCCGGTCAAAAACATGAGCTTCTATTCAGCCGCTTTGGTATTAATTATAACGCGCTTCCTGCGAGGCTTCGTAAGGGTACACTGCTCGTGCGGGAAAACGTAAGTGCGACGTTTACATACACTCGGGCCGGACATGAACAAATCTCGGGGTTGTTTTAGGTGTGCTTAGGACCCGCTATGGCGTCCGAGGGTCAACGGGGTCCTGCCGAGGCACCGGCTGCGGCCACAGTAGATTCGACTGTAACATCCGATATGGATATCGCAGCACCTGCTCCTTCGCTCGATACGGCGTCATCGAAGAAGAAGATAAAACGTACCACGATGATCGTTGCATACCATTGCGACGTAGTGGGAGAAGAGTTTTGGAAGGGTCATTCGGAGCTGCTGAACCCATGAAAACGAGGCGCGTTGATATTTTCTCCGATATCTTCAGTTCATTGCCTTCCAACTACGGATGAGATTATATTCAAATCTATGAAAAACCGCCATGTTTACGACTCACCTAAGCTCCGACTCATCATGGGGGCTCCGGCAGCCTATACCAACGGATCAGCTCAAGCTACCACTCTCACGGTCCACTCTCTCCTTCTTTCTTTGCCACATGGCGAGTCAGAGTGCTCTTCTCTCGCACTGTTCTCTCGGGGCCGTGATTCGAGATCTGCCGTGGACTATACCGATGCCCCGCTCAAATTCGGCTCGAAGATCTTCGAAGTCAAATATAACCCTGGCTTGGCAGGGCGCCAAGACCGACCGACGCGACGCGTCATCTGCATCAGAGGGGGTCCTCGAGTACGTTCGTCTGGTTCGACACAAGTGCAATGCGATGCATCTTCGAGATTCGACTGTGCTCGCGTTTCGAGCACCCGACTCCTCTACACCCGCTCTAACACCACTTCCCTGCGGACGGCCTGGATTCTCTTGAGATTGCCAGTCACATCTGATCTCAGATGAATCTAAGCGTTGCCGAGTACTTCTCGGTTGCTTCCGACTGTGTTACTGATTTGGTTTGGTGTGACATCGAATCGAACGCCCATTGTTGAGGAGGTGCATCTGTTTTACAGATAATAATCTCCATGATAAACAGGTAGCCAGCGCCACATAATATGATGGTGCTCCGTAGTATTTGCTCCCATAACAACTCATTGTGGTGTTGAAATCGGAGATGCATACCAAGCCAATGCGAACCGTATTCCGAGAGTTGCCAGTGGCAATAAGCGTCCATATAATGTAGCGCAAGATCGAGGATACCGCATGCGAGTTCAATCAATCGATTCAAAGCCGGAACCGAACCATTCGCGTTTTCATATGGAGGGATTACAACGGATTGTATCACAATACTGCTTTCATGTTGCTTCTGACTTGCTCTAGGCCCCATCACTGCAGCCACAGCTGGCCACTACGCTACTCCACCAGGACGCATCACTACTGGGCTCCTTCGTGGATAACCATAACAGTTCTCGCATGAACTTGCACACCTCCGATACCGTATTGGCAAAAAACATGGCGACGCTGAACATCATGTCGGGTGGAAATTCAATTGATTGGTCTCGGCGCAATGCCTGCGAAATCATAGCTTTCGCATGACACAGTGTAGTATGTACTACGGCCACAAGCAGGTTCCGGCTATCCTGACAACCAGGAGGCGCTTTGGCTCATCAACTACCCGACCTGCACTACCAAGCTCGACCAACATTTCGCCCCTCTGGGCGAGATCCGCGACCACGCTGCCTCGAAGGACTTAACTTATCTCAGCACCTCGTCTCGCTAGCGATCATGTTCTATCAATAAAGAAGGGAATGGGTTCCCCGTCATCAGCAGCCTAAAGTAACGCGAAGTCAACGTCGATGATACTCAGCGGTTTCTTGCAAGGTGGTCGATACGCTCTTGCGAGAATGGAACGGCCGATAGGTCAGAGCGGGCCATTCAGGCTCGCCGAACGTATACTGTGAGCAGAATGCTCTGGTATCTGCTCCTTGATACCTTCATATGGGAAGTTGTTACGCTAGATACACTGCAACAGAGTGCCGAAGGCACGTATTACACATTGAACGTTATGCCTGATACATAACCTCTCACCGAGCTTGACGCGTCGTTCCCGTACTACCAGTAGTTAGCCTACCCTAAAACTATCAGGTGACCTTTATAGCGCATCCCGAATTTTTTCGCTTGCGCAGCCTCTCTCGTCTCCATTGTGCTCGAGTTTGCTACCGTCTTAGCCAACGTCATGCGTTCACGCTGAACGTTCAGCTTCATAATGTAAGCATTCACGTCCTGATTCATGCGTTCTTCGCTTCGAAAAGATGACAAAACTCGCTCCGAGTGCTGTCAATCTACCTACCTGGCATGCACGATGCTCTGGATATTTTGTCATAGTTACACTGATCGGTCCCAACGTATATGCATTCACTTCTATATGTACTAACGTTTGCATATCCAGAATCGGAATGGCCTCTAGATTCCGGCGCGACTCAAGGTCGATATGAGAACGTGAGGACGGTGAGTGTCGACTGTTCATGATCCATCTCTGCTTCGCGCGGAGATGATCCAAACCTTCAAACTAGAGTATCTGAGGGCTCTGCCCGATGCTTTACATCTTCTGTCAATCCACTGAGCATAGCCTTCTGCGCTCTTCATCCGTCTTCTGTTTTTCCATACTCACACCTCATCCTCTTCAGGTACGAAGCACATCATCATCTTGCGAAGACGACGTCTCATCGACCCCGTGAGTCAATCCTCTGAATGACTGTCGTGATGTATTCATGGATTTACCGCCTGATTCCGTCGTTTTCAACGCGGCGGGACTTGACGAAATCTCCTGGCTGTATATTTATACTCTGAACCTCCTTGAACCTGACCATCGCTTCTTGATACTTGATATTGACTCTTTGTCCTCAGGATGAAGTCGGTGTCCAACCTCGAGCAGTCCACAATTGTCTAAGCCCCTTCGCGTTGGGTGAGTCTCGGATCTATCACTTTCCCGAATGATGCCTATTATCACGACGGTCTGCGTATCTTTGCTGCCGAAAATGCCCGACCAAGCTCACATATTCGGGCAACCCCCTCTGATCTTCCCATCCTACCCTCTCATCATGCACGAGGCTGACCTCTTGATCATTCAGGTTGCCTGCTGTTCATGGTCGCACTCCAGACTGCTGAAGTCGCCGGACGTGAGTTATGTTTCGTCGTGTTCAAGATGTTGTGTCCCGTCCAGCTGCGTGATGATTCATCATTCAATTATCAACTAGAAGCTGTTGCTGAGCTTCGGCGCTGGTGAACTTTATTTCTCTGATCCTCTTGGTTCGTTTACGACGCATATATTCAGAAGCTCACAGTACCTCCACTAGGAACAACGCATCTCAAACCCACAAGTCCCGCTCCAGCCGATATAATATCTGTGAGTTATATGTTTTGGTTCATGATTCGCATATGATGTTTGAGGCATTTGGCTTTACGCGGGGTATCCTGCACTGGAGAAAACTATCTCAGCTACCTTCGGGGGCCCGCTTTGGCGGTGACTCTCGCTTTATCTGAACTTCATCGATTTTGTTAATCAGAAGTGCTTCTCCTGACTTGTACTTGCTAGGTTTGCGTCGCTTCAGTAATCAAGGCATCCTCGAGCCTAGCTTCAAGACTCTTCGCAAACTATAGGCCATGTGAGTCCTCCCATTGATTCGGGAGCTGTATTCAGCTCTCGCAAGAGATGACTTCACTCTCTTCCCCGTCCTATACGACCATGCCGAGTATTAGAGGCTTTCGTTCGCAACGAACCCGCGCTCTACGGAGCGCACAGCGTACTTGCCAGTGCCATTTCGTCTGATGTTTCCTTTTACTGCGATATGTGCTGCTTGTGCAGGCCGTACTGACACCGCTTCACCAGGTGGGTCCTGCTGTTCTCCGCAAGTCCGGTGCATTTGGCGTTTGAAATAGTGCTCCTTCGGTCAGTATCTTCCTTCCTGGTTGCAGCTGGTGCAGCTTCGCATTCCTTCATGATGAATCCATACCGTTCACTTCGCAGTTTCCACTCTAGTGCCCTCCTGTTGCGGGAGCACTCCCCCAACGTCGGACGTCTATATTCCCCACGTCGCGCTGAACCCAATTAGTGTTGACGCTTGTGGGCCGCCCTTGTGGTGCGCTGGGCGCGAGATGGGGGTCGGCGCGATGAGGGTTGCAGTCCTTCCTAGGATGTCTGATTCTTCTATCCACCGCACTTTCCACTCATCGTTGTACGTCGCTGACTCACAATGCCAACAGACAAAATCCATCACTTGGCATATGGGGGGCTTGTTGATGTACTAGTTCGAGGCAGTTTGTATTCCGTGTAGTCTGTCCGACAACAGAATCCGTTCCCCGCACATCTTTGCTCGTGATCACGGTGAAAGACGCAGCTAAAGCTTGAAGCTTGTATTGCCGATCTACCACCGAGCGGTGTATGATGACGCCGACCCGGCTTTGGCCGACCATATAGGAAATTTCCCCGCGCAGTGACGGAAGACTTACCACGCTCTTGACCACCTACCACCATGTTCGCCCGCTCAGCAGCTCGTGCACTTAAGTCCCAGTCGCGCCTCTTCTCCTCGTCGGCAGCGCGCCAGACAAAGGTTGCCGTCCTTGGCGCAGGTGGAGGCATTGGCCAGCCACTCTCGCTGCTACTCAAATGCGACCCGCTTGTCTCGAGCCTTAGCTTGTACGATATTCGGGGTGCACCGGGCGTTGCTGCAGACGTCAGCCACATTGACAGCTCCGGCGATGTACGTACTCGCTGTATATTAACGAGAAGCAGTCTGACTCTGGTGTTAGGTCAAGGGCTACGCTGCTGACCAACTCGATGCTGCTCTCGAGGGTGTCAAGGTCGTGGTTATCCCCGCTGGTGTTCCCCGAAAGGTATGTCGCGACACGACAGTTATATGTATCTCGTACTGATCCATTTCTAGCCCGGTGTGAGTATGCAACGCGAACGTCATATGAGATCTTCCCTGAACTTTTCGCCTAGATGACCCGTGACGACCTCTTCAACACCAACGCATCCATCGTGCGCGACCTTGCTACCGCCGTCGGCAGGGTGTCCCCGGAGGCGCACATCCTCGTCATCTCCAACCCTGTGAACTCCACCGTCCCCATCGTCGCCGAGACCCTCGCCAAGGCGGGCGTCTTCGACCCGAAGCGTGTATTCGGGGTCACCTCCTTGGATGTTGTCCGTGCTACCCGCTTCCTTGCGGAGGTCACCGGCGCGGACCCAGCAAACACTCCTGTCACTGTTGTCGGAGGCCACTCCGGCCCCACGATTGTCCCCCTTCTCAGCCAGTCCTCTTACGGCAAGGCTATTACCGGCGAATCGTACGAGAAGATTGTTCACCGCATCCAGTACGGCGGTGACGAGGTCGTCAAGGCCAAGGACGGTGCTGGCTCCGCGACTCTCTCCATGGCCTACGCCGGTGCCAAGTTCACCAACTCTCTCCTCCGCGGTCTCACCGGCGAGAAAGGCGTTGTTACCCCGACCTTTGTGAAGAGCCCGCTCTTCGCCGACCAGGGCATCGACTTCTTCTCCTCCAACGTCGAGCTCGGCCCTAACGGTGTTGAGAAGATCCACGAGATCGGTCCGCTCTCCCCCGAGGAGGAGAAGCTTCTCGCCGCGTGCTTGCCCGAGCTCAAGAAGAACATCCAGAAGGGCAAGTCTTTCGTCGGTGCATAAGGGAGTACCGCTCTGGGGTTGATGTAGACACGACGCGCGGATATGTTCTACACGGATAGACGGATCTATGCCACTGCTAGATGCGATCGACTCTGCTCCTCGGCACTTGCTTATTCCTAGTTGCATTTCCGTAGAGGTTTGGGACAATAACTCGTGGATATGTAAACCGTAACTCAAAACTCAGTGCAACGTGCGCGCTAAACACAAAAATTCATGGAGAGTTAAGACGACTATCGTGATTCCAAGTGGTTACGAATTTCGACGAAAACGTTGCGTGACCACCGCAGGGGTCGAACCTGCAATCTCCTGATTACCTCGCACCTTTAATATACACGATCGTAGTCAGACGCGATGCCATTTCGCCAGGCGGCCGCGGAAATTGAGTCGGATTCGTGCGTCGATGCTTACGGCTTATTGGTGTCAGCGAACAACACGCCGCACCGAACGGCATCCTTGCTGCACGGGATGTAGTCATATTGGTCTACAGTGCCATCTGGCATAAGAACGACAGCGGGTCTCGGCCGTGCCTCGAGACATCAACGACATGCACGCAGACAGATTTATGCGTAAACCACACCTCGTTTCTAGGCGCGGAGACGCAGTACTGAGAACTTCGAACCCGGTGAGCAGTGTGCGACAACACGATCACCAGCCACTCATCAGGATGGAATAGACGATCGATCACAAGATCAGAGCAGCTGGACAGAGAGGTCTATAGCTTGAGTGTCTGTGGGATCAAGCTGCGAGTGCGATCTAACAAGAAGCATCGAGGAGGCAACTGTGCCCGGCTGTCGTAGGGCTGTGAGTGAGGCAGCTTTGCTGCGCGAATTTGCTGCATTCGATATCCTTCAAGCTATTTTGAAGCTTAACTACCACCTCGGAGCACGAGGCGCATGAACTGTAGCTACACCTACCTCGCCTGGACTAGTATCCGCGGCGGTAACTCTCGATTTCTCCTTGAGATCTAACACTCATAACTCTCTAGACCTGATGATCAAATGGCTGACTCGGTGATCTAGATGGTAACCCTAAACGACGTGGATAGAGTCCCATGTGAGATGGACACATCATTTTCATAGCTTCGTGAGCCTAATCTACATAGCATTCGCTATTCATAGAACCTTCCACGAGACACTATTCATACAAGACTGTGAACCTTTCCCCTGTCAGCCCACTCCCACTGACACGCTTGTGCTCTCTCGCGTTGACGTCTGCAATGCCCGAAGATCAAAGAGAACCTATCTGGCAGCGGCGATTTGACCATGCGCTCGCCAATACGAACACATTCTTATCCCTGCTTGAGGCCCTCACAGAAGGGGTTATCATCTGCGAACCTCTCAAAGGCGCGGTCAAGCTGGCGAAGGCGGTCATCGAGATAGTCGAGGCGAGTTGCAGTAAGCAAGCTCGTCAAATTGTCTCACTAATGACACACGCCACAGAAAGTTCGTAAGAATCAGAAGGATTGCCGGGAACTGGCTCGGCATACATGCAAGTTGATGATATCCATCGTCGCCGTCCTAGAGGGAAGGTCAACTGATGAGATTCCGGACCGGCTTAAAACTTGCATTGACAACGTCGCTTGGTGCGTCACGGCCGTCGAAGGGACACCAATTTGGATGATTCTGATCTGGTTTATAGCACCCTCTCAGAGGTCAAGGCTGGTCTTGAAACACTGCAGCTTCAGAAGCGCTTCTCCTTCAAGTCCTTAAGACGGGCGTGCCTCCGACGAGAATATGTGGCGGAGGAGATCGCCAGCTACAGCATTCTGATCGACCGTTGCCTGCAACAGTTCCAGGTGCATCTTCACGCCGCTTTGCTCTTCACTGAATCTCACGTTTTCATCAGGTCGTTATGCTCAGTGATATCAGGATGGCATTCGGAGGGATGCATTTAGCATTAGAAACAGGATTAACCGGGATCCGAGAGGAGCTTCGCCTTTCCCGAGCAGATGGTGTTCGCCAGGTCTGTTGGCTTACTTGCTGGAGCTCATATACTGATCGTGAGTCCACCAGCTGCTCACATCCCAACCAGCTAGGCTCGTTGTTTGGTTTACTCTATTGTGTTCACACTAACCAAGATCGATCAGTCTTCAGTTTTCGTCTATCGTACCTCTCCCTCCGATGCATTTTCAGGGACGAGATCAAATCGTGAATGATGTAGTCCAAAGACTTGGGAGCAACGAACAAAGCCATACAATTCTCCTTGGTACCGGCGGAATTGGCAAGACTTCCGTCGCACTCTCAATCCTCGACCATCCTGACATCAAATCTCGGATGTGATGCTGTTTCGTCCCATGCAATACTCTCTTGTCAGATTCCGCCCTCGTCCTTGCTATCCTCCAGGTTCTCGGAAGCTGTACGGACAGCGGAGACCCTATGAAGTGGCTGATACGATGCATCCAAGCTGTGGGCCCTACTGTCCTTGTTCTAGATAACTTCGAAAGCCCATGGGATGCTGGAGGAACCCACGCGTCGCTAACGAAGCTTCTCGGTGCATTGGCCGCGCTTTCCAACCTCCAACTTGTCGTGACGATGCGAGGGGACCATCCGCCGGCTAAGGAACACGTGCGGTGGAATCCCGTCTGTCTTGCTCCGTTGAGCATGGAATCTGCCAAAGCACTGTTTCTGTCCATGAATCCTCATACCAAAGCCGCAGAATACCAGGATTTAGACGTGTTGCTTGAGAAGGTCGATGGCCTACCGCTTGCCATTGATCTCCTTGCGAAGCAGAAGGGGGTATTACCCTGTTCTCTCCTACTACAACGATGGAAATCACAATCTACCGCGTTGCTTACCACCGAACCACGATTTCCCACCCGGTTGACGAGTCTTGATGTCTCAATCATGCTTTCGCTGAACTCAGAATCTATGAAAGCAGCTCCAGATGCTCTCGCTCTGCTGGCAATCATATGCCACTTACCCGACGGTCTTACCAGAGGTTCGGATCAACTCGTCGACATGAATCTTGGCTTCGAAAATGTACACCAATCGCTCTCGGCGCTGCTATGCAGTGCACTCGCCTATATCAGCCCTGGGGGCTCTATCAAGGTGCTCTCCCCGATTCGCCAGCACATCATCATACATCACGACCTGCCGCAATCAAAATACCAAAAACTGTTGCAATACTATACCGGACTCATAGACGAACATGCATCCGTGTCTCCGGGATACGGCGATTTTGAGCAGGCTTCAAATATTCTGCTTCCGGAGACAGGCAACATCATCCATTTACTCGTGCAGGAACTCCGACTGGGTCGAACATGTACGCCTGGTATCGCTCGCGCCGCTTTCTCGTTCTCCAAGTTTCAGTGCTGGACACGACATTCAACTGAAATTATAGACAAGTTGCTCAGTCAATGGCCTATTCATGGACTGGATGTTCATCGTGCAAAAGGGTTGGTGCTGAGGGCAAGACTCTTAGGGTGTATGCGTCACTACGCGATGGCACAGCGCGACTTGGATGCTGCACTGGTGGAATGTCATAGGTTCGAAGATCAAGAAACGGCAGCGGAATGCCTGTACTATTCCGGCATTGTGTATCGCAGTCGTAGCGAGGCTACCAAGGCAATAGAGAAGTTCACGCATGCCCACGACGCGTACTCCAAGATTGGAGATGACCTGGGCATAGCGAACTGCCTGCAAAACTTGGGCGACATTTATTGCACGCAGAAAAAGTACACGGAGGCGATAGAGAATACATCCCGGGCGCATGTCGTATTTTCCCAGATTGGCGACCGACGGCAGGTGGGAAATTGCCTAGAAAGACTGGCCTACATTTGTTACGTGCAGGGCGCATACACGGAGGCCATAGCGAAGCTTGTTCAGGCCCACGATACGTTCTCCGAAATTGGTGACCGACTGGGGGTAGCGAGTTGCCTGCAAAGCTCGGGCGACATCTTTTACATGCGAAACGAGCACACTGAGGCGATAGCGAATCTCATTCGGGCACACGACATCTACTCCGAGATTGGAGACCGACTGGGTGTGGCAGAATGCCTGCAAAGCATGGGTGACATATATCGCATGCAGAAGGAGTATACACGGGCTACAGAGGCGTTCAAACGGGCCCACGACGTATATGTTGAAGCCGGAGACGGGTTGGGCGCAGCCAGTTCTCTGCGAATTTTGGGCAGTATTCATCGTGACCAAAATGAGTACGCGGAGGCGATAAACAAGCTTACCCAGGCTCTCAAGATATACTCTGAGACTGGAAATCAGCTTGGCGCAACTCAATGTCTACAGAGCCTGGGCGACATCGATCGTGCCCAAGAGCAATACTACCAAGCTGCAGATAAGCTGAATCGCGCTCTCGACGTTGCCTCAAGCACTGGGGACATCTACCAGATTGCTTGGTGTCGGATTTACATTGGATTGCTCGATCGCGACCAGTGTCGTTACAATGAGGCACTCATGCACATAACCCTTGCTCGCTCATTATTTACGGGCATCGGACAAGAGGGCGACGCTGGATATTGTTCGGACCTTATTGCTGAGATCCACCAATCCATGGTATGATGATGTTACTCGTGATATCCTGTCGCCGCTGATCCACCTCGTGCAGTAGAGCAAAAAAGGCTCGATGATTGTGTCAAGTAGCGTAGCAACGCCCGCACAATACGTATAGACGAGCGTCGAAGCGTATCGGATCATGGCAGCATAGGAGTCGTTGCTGTATCCGTGGTCAATTTCGCCACCGGACACGAAGACTCCGACTCACCAGAAACAGAGTAAAACGAGGCGGTCATGATGCAGATCCGATGTCGCACAGACTCGACGCTCGACTGCATGTCGCTAATAACAATGATTACGATGCATTGTCAAGGCCGCCTGGCGAAATGGCATCGCGTCTGACTACGATCTCTTGTCCCTTGGATTTGAGGTAATCAGGAGATTGCAGGTTCGACCCCTGCGGTGGTCATTTTTTCCCCTCTCGCCCTCGGTTCGTCGCATGCGAAAAACATACGCGTCTGATGGACGAAAATGTATATCGATCATTCAGCAAGAGGTACGGGACATATTCATAGGTTTCATTTTCGGCGCGCAGCGTCATTCCAGGCATATCTAATGCGAATACGAGGCGATAGCCCGTCAAGGGCACATCTATCTATGCAGTGAACGCATCCAGCGCTCTATGGATTGTATACAATGCCACCGAAGGGCTTGAGGGATGCTGATCTAACGGAATCCGTAAACGATAGCAGGAGAAAGCGATGCCAGATGATAGGACCAGAATGCGGGTCGAGCCGAATAAAGAAGGAATAAAGACAGTCGGATTGTCGTCAACCTGGGGGCAAGGTGGATGGACCACCGCAGAGAAAAGGAGATCAGGCCGAGGCGTAGGTCTCGCCGAGGGCGAGCAGCTTGTTGCTCGAATCGACGAACGTGCCGGAGAAGTCGCCGAAGTAGCTGTAGCGCTCGACCGAGGAAAGGCCGTCGAGGAAGGGCAGCATCGTCTCAAGGAACGTCTGCTGGTCGCTCGTCGAACCCGTCGCGCCGAACTCGGTGACCCAGACCGGCTTGCCGTACTTGGTGCCGATGTCGGAGATGTAGTTCTGGAAGTAGGCGGTATTGCTGGCGGCGTCGTAGATGTGGATCGCGATGGCGTCAATCGTGCAGCCGCTGCAGGCGGAAAGGAAGTCGTCGAGCCAGGCGGTACCCATGGGCGCGGCGCCGTTGGTGATCGCGGGCGAGACGAGCTTGGCTTTGCCGGCGAAGGGTTCCATGTAAGTCTTCCATGCGGCCGCGGCGGCAGACGGAGAAAGGTTGGATTGGGAGGACAGGTCGGGTTCGTTGAATCTGCATGTCGTCGCGAATCAGTTCGTGGTAGAATGCTAGGGTGAAGAAGAACGCACCCGAGCAGATGCGTGGAACCGCTAGAGATCGCAGCATTTGCGTGGGTGGTCCAGGCCGAGGTGTGGTCGGAGCTCGTGCCCCAGAGCATAGGTACATACTCAACACCCGAGGCCAGGCTGCCACTCTTGGTCGAGTCCCAGTTGTAGGCCCACGAGACCCTGCATACATTCATCAGAATTGCCCTATCGAAGTGGATTCACGACGATGGGGTCAACTTACTTCGTACCGAAAGCAGTCGTAGCACCGATATCGTTGAAGCCGAGACCACGCTTGGTCGTACTCGAGGAGAGCGAAACGCTGGTTGCGGAGGCAGCCGTAGACGAGGAGGAGGTTGCCTTCACCTTCGACGAGGTAGTGGCCGCCTTGGTGACGGAAGTGGCGGCAGCGGACGATGCCTGGACCTTGCTCGTTGACGCAGCGACGGTGGAAGATCCAACTTTGCCGGTGGAAACCATAACAGAAGTCGGGTGGACGGATGTGGTCGGTGCCACGAAGGTGGAGAAAGGGACGGTGGACGTGGACGTGCTCGTGACGATAACGACGCTAGAGACAGCAGATTCCGTCGCGTTAGCGAGGACAGCGGTAGCCGACCTGCAGAAACGCGTGTTATTAGTCACATTCATCAACACGGAAAGGCAGATTGATAGTATTGGAATTGTGGTATTCGCAACGTGGACGTAGTATAAACAAGACTCATTACCCGACGGAAGTAGATACGCAGAAGCTGGAATGGTGAAGCTGAAAATGATTGTAGATGACCACTTACTCGGCCGCGGAGGAGCGGTGTGCGCAAACGTGCTTGTTAGCACGACCGAAGTGCTTAGCACGCTTTCCGTGGATGCCAGCTTCCGCAGATGAAGCGAAGGTGGCGAGGGCGACCAGAGCGACGGAAAACTTCATGATGACCAGAAATCCCAGATAAAAAGAATGTGATGTTCGAGAATGAGCGAACGAGCGACAACCGACCGGAGAGGGAAAGGAAAGAGAGACTTTTGATGGTTCACAGCGCCCATGGTTCATGTTCTTATATGTCCCGATCTAAAGATAGTTCCGGTGCCCGATTGCGGACGAGGCACCCTGGAGCTGCGGCGGAAGAAAGCAGGTCCGCGTTTCAACTTCACGTCAGTTCCCTATGGAAACGTAGACAGGAACGCGTACACGGCCAGTATACACTCCATTATTGCTTGTTGAAGGCTCCTCGAATCTCGGGACATGAATGAAAGACTAACGGCATGGCATTGGAAAGTACGAAAGAGCCGTGTTCGATCAACTCCCTTGCCGGTGCCTGACCGGAAATTGCCGTAACGCTCGGATCGTGCACCCTAACGGCGACGGAGCAGCACTGAAACGGGATGTACAAAACATATTGCTTCGAATCACGGAACCAGCGCAGAAGTATCAGTAATGTACATGAACCCTTCACCCTCTGCCACCCTCTGCGAGCAACAGTCCCGATCCACGAGACGTCATGCCCCGAGTCGGGGGTGCGCGCTCGTCAACGGAACTTCCAATCGTTTGACCCCTGAAATCAGATCATAGACCTTCAACTTGTCTCGTCGATAATTTTCTGTCGGTGCCTCCCAAAGCAGGGATATATCGTTCACGAGCTGAAAGAGAACAGGGAATCAGCTGGAGATGATGTCGCGACGGTTATATATACCTTGCCAGTCAGATTATCGAGCTGTCTCGATAGCTTGAAACCTGCCTCTGTCGCCGCGCGGTCGAGTGCCGCCTGAATATACGTCTGAAGGCCTTTGAATAGGTGTAAATCATCACTCAAAACGAAGCGGCGAAATTCATCCTATGCAGTCGGTTTCAGTCAGTATCATGAAGCACGGTACGTCTGCAGATTCACCTTCTGCAAATTGACACTACCTTTGCCGGTATGTCGCATAGCTGCGCGGTATCCTTCTTCTAGTTGGTACTTGATGTTGCTTGCTAGTGATTGCGAAACGTTTATTTGCGTGTAGCACATGAATTGCTGGAAATCCGATCGCGCAAACTTCAGGTGCTTGTGCACGATCTTGATGCATGACTCTCGTCGTGCATCAAAGACTGCCTTTGTCGCAGAATCGGTCAGCTGCATGTTGTCGCTTCGCTCGATGGACGCAAGCATCTCCTTGACAATCTCCTCGACTTTCTCCTCAACGTCGTCAAAGATCACCATGCTGAACATGGCCCGCCACGCGACCATGATATCATCTGTGAAAGGTGCGACAAATTCTGCATTCAGGTTTGTACGATGTTCCCCCTTTGCTCGCAGAGCTGGAGCGTGTCAGCCGTCAGTCAGTCACTCCAAAGATTGAACTCACTGGCTCGAACAGTCGGCCAGGGTTTGCTATATAACCGATCCAAAACGCGCACGACCTCTTTGTCAGCCTGCAAGAGAATATGTGAATGGAGGTGGAGATACATGTGGTCCAGCACAAACCCTTTCGGCAGCATAGACGCAGAACTCCTCGATCCGATCTCGGAAGGCAGCTTGCAGCTCCGACACTTCATCCTTCACCAGTTCCTCGAACCTCGGAAGCAGATGTTTCCGGATTAGAGTGCCCCACGTCTGCAGTCTGGCTCGATGGCCAGCTCTGCCGGCCAAAGTGTTATCCATGAACGACCTGACATCCTCGATGTACGAACGGAGTTCCTCCAGGAAACGTCCGGAGGCACTACGATGGGTTCTGGTACTGACATCGCTGCACCACTTTCGCAGCGAGAGAATCCCTGTCTCGCCTAGGCGTGTGAACACACCTCCCGCACCTGATCTCTGAGACTTTCCGCTGAGTCGGAGGTACTCTTGCGCAGAACAAGGGAAGAATTCCGGTTGCCCTCTCCCCACTGTGAACGCGGATCGTCACTATGGCTATGCTTAGCACGGAAGAAATGGACGAACATACCTAAAGTTGAGTAAGGTGCGTCGCATTCGCCTCCTGCAAGAGTGCCGTGAGACACAGAATCTACCCAGAACAGACCACACGCACCCCATGTCCATTCCTGTATCATGTCCGTAAGTTTGCTTCTAACTCCTTCGCGTATACTCTGTAACGCAAGTACGTCACTGGCTGTCCGGAAGTGATCGACTACTGCTCATTACATACCTGAGATCTGTGCCTAGCGAGGTAAAGCCTGAGGTCTGCTTCCTTTCGTGCCAGCTCCGTGGCGATCGTGTCTCTCACATCGACCGCCTTCTGCAATTCGCTCACCGGACTGTTGTGCGAAGGAGTATCCACCTCCATGCCAAACAAGTCATCCCACTCAGAGACGCTGCTGGGCAACATGTTGCTACGAAACTCAGGGGCAAGCATGCGAACACGTTGACGTTTCTGCCGTGCGGCGTTACTCGTGGAGCAGGAGGTATCATTGACTCCACGACGTTTCCGGGAGCCGTTCGGGTCCGAGAACCTTGTGTGCAATGAAACCTGATCCCCGTCTTGTAGGGCACAAGCATCTACTCAACAGTTCGGGCACCGTCAGTATGCCAGAATCTGAAGGACGCTTTGACTGACCCTCATCCTGCTGGGATCTCAGGAGGGCAAGGCGCTCTTGTGCCTTCTGCAGCAGATCGCGTGCCTCGAAGATTGCGACCTGTTGCTCCTCGAGTTTCTCATCATCGGCAATGTCGTCGGCATAACCGTCGACATTCTCGTCCGTTTTGGTGCCTTAACCGAGATACTCAGTTCCAGCCGACGACCTAGCACGCCGATCGCTTACAGACAAATGCGATGTTATCTCTCATTCGTCCCTCTACGACGAATATCAGACTATGTCCAAAAGAAAGCGCATGGAACTCACCGACTAGATACAATGCGGTTTTCCTCGTCAGCGTGAATCGGGATACGCGTTACGGAGAGACATACGCAACAGTGACTTGAATAACCCTGAAATTCTATCAGTTGAGACGCTCCTCACATACTAGAAAAGAGGGTGATGCGAACTATGTGCCCTCTCGTCGTCTTCGGCCCTAGTCGCAGCTGACACGATTAAAAATGCGTCTGCGTTGTTCTTGTACGATTCAGCCACACTGGCGCGAGCTGTATTGACGTCCTCCGATCCAGGTAAGTCCACGAAGACCGCGCCAGACTCAAGCACAGGTGATTTGATCTTGATGTTGACGGAGGAGACGATAGGCCAGAAATTGCCGCCGCGTGCTGACGACACCATTAGCATTCACAGAAAACTCTCATGTATCATGAGCACGTACCTCTGGATCGTGCTCCGTTCTGGGTGACAAATATCCTCAGCTGCTGGGAAACAGCACTCGCATCTCCGATGAATATCTTTGTCCGACCGAAACATTCGTCGAGATCTATCGTATCAGTAAAATAGGTGTGAATATTTGTCATAGGTAAGAGAAACGTACGAGGTCCCTTCGCGACCACGTCTTCTGCGGAGATACGGTCAAGGTCCTGGGGCTTGAGTCCGGGATACGCGGCTTGGAGCTGGTGCAACTCAATTACTCTGGGTATTTACCTCCGTCAACATTCCGTCCTACCTTCTCAAAGGTGATAACAGCTCCATCGATCTTGTTGACTCCTCTGACGATTCTGGCCACGTTACGTACGCCGTCATCATCCTCAGCATTGACGAGGAAATCTGATATCTCCTTGAGCCACTCATCGCGAGTGATGAAACACACTTCCGCGAATATATTGCTGTCTTCGTGATATTCGACCTGGATTGGTACGCCCGTCCCGGCTGTTGAAATGGGGGGCGTCAATTGGAGGACGTGCGTATTCTGAACAACCAGCCGCACCTTTTCCCGATGAAACAGCAGGAAGAATTTGTTCTGAACGTGGATTCGAGGTCAGAGGTAGTGCATAACCCGCGCGGTACAAAACGTGCCTCCGAGTATAGCATTCAATAGGGAACTTTTTCCTGCCCCCGTTGCTGTGACATGGGACATGTCAGTCTGGCATTCCCAGTACGCCGTGCACTCACTGACTTCCAAAGACCGCGACCATCGTAATTGGGAGCTTGGTCTTGGACAAGCTGGCGTGGCGTGAGCTGCTGAGAGACGCGGATCAAAGAGCCGAGTGCAATACCTCTCGTGCCTTGCCTTCCACACCTTGAGCCGATCTTCATGAACAGACCAACACTGCATCATGCCGAACAAGTCGTGCAGAAGTTCAAGGCCGCATTTGAGGACCCATGCTGGAGTTTTGGGAACCATGTTGCGATAAGGGCGGGAACGTCTCTTTGTACGAAGACCAGTGGCGGTCGTTCAACGCTGCGTAGGTGGTTTAGTTTGCACCCTTGTGCGGCTGCGTGTTAACGGCAGTGAAGGAAGAAGTCAAGTGAGGGGGTGACGGGGAAGCAAAGGAAAGAGATAACGCCAGCGGGTCCTTCGATGAAAGACTCGGAGGATGAAAGGGCCAAGTGCAACGCCTAATCAAAGAAATAGCACAGCCACCGACGATCTCCTTCGGACCGCTGGACCGTGACTAGCCGCAACGCTTCTCGTGGCTAGATCATCAAGTGTATTATCACGCCGCTTGTGCAGTGCCGAGAGATCTGTGTTGGCCTCTGCTGCCCGCGTCTCCTCGGACAGGCGTCCCCGATACCGGGACGGGATACGAGCAATAAGATACTTACGCACCGATGAACGGACTTGAAGGTTGAAGAGACGTCGACAGTGCAGGAGGCCCACGCTGCCTTGCATAAAGCGACGGCCTTGCATAGTGGTCGTCATTCTCCGAGTTGTAGCGCGGTAGAATACATTCCAAAGTCCGATGTTCTGTGAGTTACATTGTTCGGCAGTGTTTCGTTAGTCCAGAACGTCGGTTGCAGTCGAGGGCCCAACCGGAGCCAGGCGCCTGGGCGCAGTAGCGTTGCCACCTCCTGACAACATGATGTAACTGAGCATTACAAGAAGACCAGCAAGATTGGCACATACCTCCTGCCGGGGCACCCAGCAACGAAGACAGCATATCGCCGAACGGGTTCGCAGGTTGAGCGCGTGGTGGCGGTATGGCGAAGTATAGTTGTGCAATCTCCATCAGGATCTGCAGTCACGGCCGTGAGCGCAGCCGAGGTGAAGAGGTGATGAACGTTGCCTACGCCTCGGACGTTCGGGTTCGCCAATAACCCGCCTTTACTCTGATACGTCCCGCATAGGCGTACCCAAGCCTCTCGCGCGGCCTTGTTTTCCGCGCCTTTTGCGCGTTGGCACGTTCGAACCGCGAGTTGTGACCAGTTGAGTACTAGATCTGAAAGGTGAAGTCAGCTCTGATGGCACTTGAGATCTGTCAGGGAAAGGACTCAGGGCGCACCTGTGGTAACAACAATTTCGTCCGTTGTGGCCATGGCTGAATCGGAAGCAGGGTTAGCATTGATAGGTATGGTTTCGCTGACATTGCTTGACGCGAGAGATGGTTTGGAAGAGATAATTTGCCGAGTGAAGCTATTGATGAACGTTCGAGCTGCGAGAATATTGCCATTCAGCAGGTATCTATGTGTATCATGCACATCTGTGAGTGCGATTTCCCTCGTTCGAGACACGACTACAGGTACGCACGGCAAAACACCTCTTAAAGCAAAGGTACCGGGGCTACCGCCCGCCGCAGACCAATCGACGAACATCTGCGCGAGTACTCTGGCACTGTCGCGTTTGCCGGCAGCAAGAAGGTGAGGTTCAGCGGCTTCGAATGCCCCCTCTAAGAGATATAGCGTAAGCCAGCTGCGAGAATAGCGTATAGTTGAGTGTACATGCCTTTGTAGAGTAACTCTCCAACATAATGTTGTAGATCCGGGTCACCCGCTGGGCATGGCCCGTGTTTGGCACTCCATCTGTCATAGCATCTTAGCACACATGCTTGGCTACGGAACGAGTACACCCACGCGACAGCCTTGTCTATCAAGGTTTTCCTCCATGATCCATTGGACCCAGTCAATGCGATCAACTGAGTAAGCCTTCCTAGATCCTACTGAATCAGTCTCCAATCCTCTACCAGTACCGTTTGATGTACGGACCCCGGCTCTCTTCTGTCACCGTCTCTCCTTTGTTCTCGTAAACCTCGAGCAGGAAGCTAGCCAAATCTGTTCCGCTGCCGGGTTGTCCGGCCTTGAGCAGCTCCCGCGCAGATTGGAAGAGGACGTCTATCGCGGTGTCGAACTGGCGCGATTTCTGGTAACGCGAGGCGAATGTGCGCGCCTTCTGGTGTGCTTCGTAAGGTTGTCCTGCGGTAATCAAGGGTAATATCGCGTTGAGCGCCTTGCTAGACGAGGAAGAGGCCGCCATCGTTGACGTAGATGAACGCGGTGTACAAGCAGCCGCGCCATCTCTTCGACTGGGCTACTTGCCACCTATCCGGCTCTTCCATACCGTTCATCATGCCAGCCGCCCAACCTCTGAAAGTAACCCCGGCTTCAACGCCGGCTCGCCAAGGCTCTTCATCCACTACATCGTCACTTGCCGATCGTACACCCACCGTCACCCCTGCCACGACCGGGAAACAAGCTAACGGTGCCCCGGCAGCAGCACCGGTCGACATATCTAGCCCACATGAATTGACCGCATACGTGAGTTTCGCGTTGATCGACTCAACTCGGGAGATGCTGAAACGTATGAATTGTAAAATAGGTTGAAAGCTTGCTTGAGCAACTGGACACAAAGTTCGATGAAATGTCCTCTCAGTTGCTCGAACGCAGTATGTATCGTGTATCATCGGGAAGGTGTAGACTATGCTCATGAAGAACCTCTTGTATAGTGACTCAAATGTCATCACGCGTGGATTCCCTAGAAGCGTCTATACAAGATATCATCAATACGGACGTCGGTACTCCTGCTCCTAGCGTGCCCCAGTCACCAGCACCCAACGGAATGCCCAATATGAGACGGACAGGCAGTGGGCTTTCTTCGTGACGGGCTACTGCCCGTTCGAGGACCGCGTACGTGGTATGTTAAGTGTGAATACGCCAAGCGTAACAGCTCAGTTTCTCCGTTTCTTTCAGCTGAATGGAACCGAGAACAACGTGCGATGGTCAAAGCTTACGTCGATCAGCGAAAGAATATGGGTTTCCTCCCAGCGTGGTCCCCCCTCCCCAATGCCAACCTGGTATCACCCGTATAGGAGGCGTTGCTTCAAGGTAGCGGATGGCAACCCAGTATTCACGGATATCTGGATTCAGATACCCTCAACGACCGGAACTCAACATAGCTGTCCGCACAGTAAGGACCACGCCGCAGCAACAATAGGGTGGACATAATCTGTTGATTGACGCGGGAGATTGTACGATACATGACGATCGTACGTTACACGATAATCTAGTGGCAACATGAAATGTCAACCGACCGTCGAAGCACTGCAAATTAGTGTACGGCATTTGAGCATGGTGATCTAGGGGGAAACGTGGGAGAAATCTAGGGGGAAACGTGGAAGAGATCTAGCCGGCAGCGGCGTCTAGGTCTAAACTGTGACATCTAAGTGTGCGCAGTCATTAGGCACAGCGAGTTCTACAGGATTGCGAGGAATCTAGGTTCCTTCTTGAAGCGAGCTATAATGATATTGATCAGTAAATGCAAGCGAAGGCCAGGCGAATTGACCGTACCATACAACAAGCACGCGGCCGCTACGATCTGAATTCCGCCCGAATACGCTATGACGGCGTGCCAGCTCTTGGTGGATGCATAGATGGCGCCACTGATCGTCGCACCGGCGAGCTGACCCGGGGCGACGTAGAGGAAGAGCAAACCGGAGAGGCCAGCGAGTCGACCCGCACCGTATAAACGCGCGGCGACAGGCGAAGTGAGAGAAAGGAAACAGCCGCTAAAAAGGCCGTAGGTAATAGATAGGCCCATCTGATATCATGATGAACATCGTGCTCTGAGGGTTAAGGGGATATACTTACTATGCCGGCGTACCCGGAGACGAAGTTCCAGACTAGAAGTTGCGCCAGGCCGGAGCCTAAGACAGCGACGAAGAGCGCGTTGACGACTCCTACGCCATCGGCTACGTGGCCAACAAGTATCCGTCCCAGCCCAGCAGCGAGGTTCAGAATGGTCAAGGGGAGCACAGAATGCTATGGCACAGGTTTGTGATTAGTCCATGCATGTGAGCATCGAAACAATTTCGCTCACAATGCTGCTGATGCCAGGAACCTTCTGTAATGTGAATTCTGTCATGAAGAACATGGGAGTCAAGAAACCCCTAGAAGGAGCACCGGATCAGCGGCGCGGTTCGTAGGATACGCGTGAAGAAAACTGACATGCAGCAAAAGAACAAGCACATGGCCAGACTCCAAAACACGGTATCTTTCAAGATTGAGCCATCGAGCCAAGTAATGCGCTGGCGCCTTCCATCCGGCCCGTGAACCCTGGAACCGGGAGTCTTGCGCTCCTTGATCAGGAGGAAGCCAATCGCGAGGGTAATGGCGTCCATGCTGGTTTTGATGGCCATGGTCTTGCGCAAGCCAAGATCAGACAGGAGCCCGCGTATCAGAGGAGAGCTGACGGCACCCCCTGTCAGACAACAGAATGATGACACGGTCAACCTTAGCCATGCAGGAAAGGAGAGCCGTAATTCCTACCGAATGAGCTGGATGCAAGGACGATGCCTGTAGCCAACGAACGTCGTCGTAGGAACCATTGTGATGGTAGGGAGACGATAAGGGGAAATATCAACCCAGCGGCTAAGCCTTGCATGACGCCCTGTTTTGTACTCTCGATGTGATAACATAGACAGTGAATTCATATTGTGATTACCTGTGATATGAAGAACTGCCATAGTTCTGTGCAGAAAGCGATGCTGATCATGCTCGCGATCCAAACGATGCTACCAGCTGCCAGGAACGGCTATGTCGAAAAGGGTAAGAAAGAGAAGAACGGGCATACATTGAATCACAAACCTTGTAACCGTAATAATCCCCGAGTTTGCCAGTAATGATGGAAAGAACAGTCATGATCTGATAATATGTCTGTCAGTTACCCGCATCCGTAAGTTTTAGACGAAAGCATACCAAGCCCGGCATGCCTCCAAGGAGACTAAGAACGGAGGCGGATGTTCCGACAAGAATGTGGTTCTCGTAGTACGACTGGAACACGCCCCATGCCTACCCCACAGATGAACATAAAGCGTAAGCATCCCTCTTGGCCAGAGAGGACTGGGAGTCCTGGTACAAGTGCTCACGAGACTAGCAAACACAATCACTCAATGTTAGTGGACATCATCATCCGATAATGGCGGAGAACGTACCCAAAACCAACTGATACTGCACACAGAAGAGAGCAGCCTAATACCACGATCCACCCTCTGCCACCTTCAGGGTAAGGCGCGAGAGGATCCGGTGGGTCAGAAGAGGAGGTCACAGGCCCGGATTTTTCGAGGTCGCAAGGACTGTCCTTCCTCTCCGCGATGGGCTCCTCCGCCACCGCGGTAGCAGTACTGGGGGCATAGGATGTAGAACGACTGTATTCCATCACACCGGTGTGGATGCAAGTGCGGCTCAAGACCAGCGTTCCAGCGACCGAGTCCGAGGGCCGTTTCGAGTCAACTCAGGCTGAAATGTTTCTGCCTTCATCGTTATAAGGGATTCCGGCATGCAGTCCGGCATTCGCAGGGTACGTCCGAGGTAATCATACGAACTGACGAAGAACTGACGCCGTCGAATCATCAGCAGGCGCAAGAAATGAGGCGGGCCGGCATAGGCCGGCATCCGCTTTTTGCAAGTCTCGACCCCAGGTTGTCCCAGGTTGTGGCGGTGCTGGTCCTATATCAGGCAGGTCGTCGTCCTCGAGGTCAAAGTGCTGAAGCCAGATGACTATTGTAACTCCCTCTAACCCCTCGGAAGTAAGAGACCTACACCTTCCAATTACACACGCATACATAAAGCATTAGACACACATCAAATACTACAGCTTGGATTGAACCGTAATCGTTGATCTTCAGGGATTACCGCAGCGCTCGATGACATACGCACGAGCTCGCTTCTGTTCCTCTCCCCCAACGCCATCCACTTGCTCGGGAGTCAACGAGTCGAGGTTTTCCTGCAGGGTCAAGCCCGTAAGTGGGCAACAACGCAGCTGAGGGAACTCAGGGCACGAACCCTGGTACGATCGGCACCCGCCTCGATGAGAAGGACAGCCGCTTCGGCATGCGCAGATTCCATGGCAAGATGCAGCGGCGTGTTCCCTGCAAGGAACACGAGTCGATAATCAAGACGATCGGTGAGAAAGACGCGTTCCGGCTTCCATCCGCGTTGAACACCCACCGATCCGATCCGCAGTGTTCAAACGCGGCTTTTGGGGCGCTGCTTCTTGCGGAGGGTGAAGGAGGAGGCGTATCATTCCAGTAGATCCCGTTGTTGCTGCTCTGTGAAGAGGTAGTTGATTGGAGCGATCGCGCGCATTAACCTAAGAGTTCTTCGTTAGTTTGACGAGCGAGAGGAGAGGAAGCCAACATGCATCGGCGCCGCGCTCTATGAGGAACCGACCAATATCCACGCGGGATTTGGACGCGGCGTAATGTCTACCTCACTCATCAATCATCCGCCAAACCCGACCTTCGTTCGGACTTACAACGGAGTAACACCTTTGTCGTTGCCTCGCCGAACGTCTGCACCCGCACCCACGAGCTCCCGTACGACATCTTCATGGCCGGCACTGACTGGGATAAGACTGCCGATCAGCACAGGCATCGCTGGACGTGTCCAATACAATAAGAACGGAGATATATGCGCTCGCGTGTATCGCGGGAGGGCCGATACAATAGCATCATTCAGCAAAAGATACGTAACATACCTGCAGAATGAAGCGGAGACCAGCTGCTTCCATCAACCTTGTTCACGTCGGCTCCTCGGTCGATCAGAAAACGGACGCATGGGAGAGAGCCGGAGGCAGCCGCCCAGTGCAACGGCGTTCGCCCATCCTTGGCGGAATATCAACATGATATAGAGTATACCAAGCGGCCTGTTTCGCCTCTTACTTGATCCACAGCGTTAACATGGCTCGGGTTCTCTTCTATGAGCGTACGCAAGAGAGATAGTTGATCTGGTGGCTAGATCAGCTACAAATGTCGTAAACGGGTCCAATATGTAGATCCGAGGATGAACAAAAGTGATGAACTGTCGCTGGCTGACTGTCATTGTACGTACTGTTTTGCGCAGCGGAGTGAACCGAAAGACCGCTGCTCATGGCTTACGAATTGACGTTCGAGAAGTACCTGGGATGATCAGAAAGCACCTGGTTGTGCGGTAAAGCTAGTAAAGTAGTACAGGTTGCTTCTGAAAATATCTTGTCCAGGAAGAGGGAAAGAGGATGCATCGGTACAGTACCGCTGCCAGATAATCCAGACGCGTCATCTCGAAGACGCGTTCCGGCACTCCATGAAAGTCACGAGCCAATACAATGACGGTTCCTGCGCCTTCAAATCCAATCGTCTTCCATGTCCATCATACCAAGACCCAACTTGTAGTTCTGGAATCGTTGTTCTCTTCCGCGTGACAATATAAAATGGCTGTACCTGCAGTCGTGGAAGAAGGCGCCTTGCAACAACTGCCTCACTCCTTGCTCCCATTCCTACAAGCACAGTCGCAGGGGACCTTGACGCGCCTATGGGGACGGCCAAGCGCATGCCTGAGCGTATTTCGGTACGCGCTGCCGCTATCATCCGCGAAAGTCCATGACTGAGAGCTGTGAAGGCTGTTAAGGCCTTTGGACCAGCAGCTTGTCATGAACCTTCTGTGGCTTGAGTCTGCCGTGCCGGCGCAAACAATGCAGCAATGGATAGTACCTGGTGGAAACAATCGAAAGTGAGCGAACAGTACCGGGGCCCTGACATCTCTAGTGCGCCTCCGGTGCCTCGTCAGGCTACTCAATAACACCTTCGCGCAGGCTTTACCACGCTTCTCTTGAGATACTGTCCAGGCTTCATATTCTGAGCGGAAATACACAAGTCAGGCTCCAACTGAACTCGACCTGGAAAGCGAGCTTGAGGGCGGCAATAACAGGCGGGTAGGTTCTCTTCCCAGCTTTAACGCATACCCCAACTCAGGCTCCTAACTTGATAGTTGCTCGGTAGAACTGTCGCAACATCGTCTGGGAGTTTCGGAATTCCTGCAGAACGGGGCGCCAAAGATTCGATGGATAAGGATGGCTTGGATGCTTTCGCTCTGGAACGATGGGAGGTTAGTCCAACGTGATGCACTACCTTTCAACTACTGATTCATTCACAGACTATCCTGCACTTCATGGTTTCATCCGGCACCGCCCATAATCCTCCTCGGCCCTCAGCAGGCGTACTCTTTCTGTTACAACGCAGCGGCCTGATGGGTGGCGGGTTGGTATCCTTCAATCACTGCCCGACCTCAGGGGCTGACCGCGTTTGAATCGGCTTTCTTCAGAGGCAATCCTCAAATCACATCGGCCGGTTTCCAATTTCTGTTACACGAGCCACATGCACAATTGTGGGAGCTTTTGCTCCAGTATCTGAGGATGGCGGAGGTAGAACCATCCACGTCGCGATGATCGCGCAGTGCTGATTTGATTTCTAGGAGCGTCAGATGGACCTCGTCGAGGTGCTGTCTTTCATCTTCATGCTATCAACTACGGAGTTGGGACGGGTATGTCTTAATATCATCATCAGAGGTCGAATATGTTATGATCGGGGTTCTACTATCAGGAGTACTCGACCGAAAATTTGTCTGACACGCAGAAGGCAATGCTGGAGGACTTGCGGGATTATGGATTAATATGGCAACAAAAGGTGTGTGGATTTACACAGAAGATGCAGCTGGCACTCATATCCTGACTGCAGCCAACGTCGAAGCGGTTTTCGCCGACACGACTGGCGACCACACTCACGTCGTCGTCACCGCCCCTGCCCACGTCGGGCAGCGGCGTGTCGGAAGGCTTCATTGTGCTCGAGACAAACTACAGGTTATACGCCTACACTGGTTCGTAACCTCACAAACGAGGATGCGGTGCCTGCTGATTCCCTGTCAAAGATAACCCCTTACAAACTGCCGTTCTCGCTCTTTTCACCACCCTTCGCTCCCGCTTTCCCAACCTCGTCGTGGGACAGATCACCCGAGAGAGCGTCAAACGTGCACTCCAAAGCGGCATCAGCGCGGAGCAGGTTAGCGGTTTGCGCATGGAGACATAAACTGCGGATAGCTTACTCCTTCATACAGATCATCAGTTATTTGTCGACGCACGCTCACCCTCAAATGCGAAAAAATGTGAGAAAACACCTAACGATCGTCTCTGTGGCCTTGATCCTGATGCATGCGTCTTAGAACCCTCTTATACCCGTGACAGTGCAGGATCAGATACGGCTATGGGAGCTTGAAAAGAACAGGCTCAAGTCGCAGGAAGGTGGGTGCTCAATCTTAGTGCAATATATTCATCTGCTCATTCTCAGCCAGGCTTCCTCTACACCGAGTTCGCCTCGCAGGGCGACTACGAGTACGTCCTTAACTACGCGAGGGAGCTAAATGTGGTACTTTGGGAGAACCCCGTCAAGCGTTGCTTCTTTGGGAGCATGGAAGGGCACGCCAACATACGAGGGTTCATTGAGCGGCGGAAGGCGCAGGCTGGTTAATTGTCAGACCTGCCCTTTTATGGGCACAATAACAAACAACCTTCTTTCTCGATTTACTGAGATCTGCGCACCTAGTTGCAACAGAGCTCTGTGCCCTAAACATGACGGGTTCAAATACGGTTGAGATGTGCAGTTATACCTGCATACACTGACAGACCTTATATCTTTTATGCTGGACAACGGTGAAACCTTGTGCGCTTAAACTTGAAGGGACAACCGCCGACACGTGAGGGGGCACAAGGTCATGTGACGGAACCATATTGGCGTGCGAAGCACACGGGCGTGGATCAATGTGGATAGCGGAAGGCTCTTGTTACTAACTCTCTTCAACTCCTCTTGTCGTCGCCAGCGCCCACCGTAGCGGGCTGTAGCTCACCTGCGGCCCAGAAAAATGTCGACAATTTCGGTCGATAGCGTCGCGCCGGTCATCCCGGAGCGGAGACCGCATTCTGCCCTCGAAGTCATTGATGTTGACAACTTGGACGATGATGTACTCCTCATGGAGAGCCGCCGGCCTTTACAACGACGGAGGTTGGACTCCCATCCTAGCTTGGACGCTGGCGTGATACGGCTGGATGACGATGACGTCGTCGAGGTGCCCGTGGCCTCGGGCTCCGGAAGTGGAAGAGATGCGCCGCGGCGCACCGGAGGTGTGTATGGTGTGCGCTATTACCTGGTCATTTGAGCTCTAAGTACTACTTTGTACAGGAAACCGATTGGCCTCCCTTCCCCCACCCCTTCCTCGAGTTGATCCTATTCCAGCCGTCCCGGCCGTGCCGCGACATCTACGGTCACAACAGGGCATGCCCCTTCGCCGTCAGACTTTTCGTCGTCCCGTTGGAAATACAATCCCTCAAGGTGTCGTTAGAGCAAACGCGCAGCCTTTCGCCTTTGAGCAGGACATGGGTCGTGGACCTCGCCGAGCTCCCACCCCACCGCCGGCACCGGCCCCTCCTTCTCACCATCAGCCCGCCATGGGCCTTGGTGGTGCCCTCCTCGCACTCAACCGACAAAACTCCGAAGAGTATCATGTCGAACGCCCACAACCGCCTACACGACCTAGACATGGCTTTCAGCTGCCATCGTTCGGGCAGGTCACCGGTGCTCTAGCTAGCACAGTCCGCCACATCATGGACATCCCGGCAGGGCTTGGTCTCGGAATCTTTCCGCACTCGCCACCCGCTATCCAGGATGAGGATCCGTATCAGGGTTACAGAGATCATCTCGCGACGCGCTATGCTCGTCGACCTTGGCACGACGACTTCGATGATCTGAACTTTTGGCTTCCTGACGACATCGAGATCGAGAGGCATCACTGGCCGTTGAGAGATGGCCGTTTCCCCATTTACGTGAACCGTGATCGGCGGAAAGATCCCGACTACAAACAGCAATATACACACGGAGAAGGCAAGCCACCGCCGGGTTTCAGCTTCGACTTTGCTCCTCTACCCCCGGATCCCGGACCTACGTTCATTGATTTGGTCACACCGGTGCAGGGCTCGAGCTCGAAAGTACAGGAGGTGTCCAACGAGGAGACCCTCCTTGTCTGTGCCAAGTGTCTAGATCCGCTCACTGTAGGGGGCGATGCGGATGCGGATGGGACGGAGCGGGCCAGGAGAAGAATATGGGCGTTGCGATGCGGCCACATGATCGACGGCAAATGCCTTGAAACGCTCATGAAACCGCGAATACCAGACCCCAACAGCACAGCGCCCTCGGCCAGCCACAAGAAGGGGAAGTGGAGAGCTGTTGAGACTGTCCCACCTATCGACGATGTCGCCAAAGTGGCGAAGGGGAAGGGGAAGGGGAAAGAACCTATGCGTCGCACTGGCAATATAACGGCGCCGGACCTTGACGCCGAGGTTCACATACCTCACGATGACGAGAAGGCGCGACTGCCTGCGCATTCAGACCCGGCCTTGACGGCAGCGTCCTCGTCAGCTGTTGCTTCCGCTTCTGCCCCAGAACCGCCGTCAATACGTTCGCGGCTTCGGCCGCGCTCGTCATGGGGCGCCTGGATGCCTGGCCCTTCGTCCTCGTCGTCGAGTCTGAACCTATACTCTCCTCCCGCATCACATCCTCCACCCCCAGCATCGTCGACCAATCGCGAGATGAAGCCCTTGCCAAAGCGTCGTAACAGACGGAAGGTGGAGACGTTCACGTGGGAATGTCCGGTGGCCGGCTGTGCCAGGCAGCATATGAGCAAAGGTCGTGGCGGCAACTGGGAAGTAGATCTAAAGAACGGTCCCATCGCCTTGTACTTGTGAATGGGCGTGCAGTATCTTGTCGACCGTTTTCGTCTTGAATCTTGGTCACGCTTGCTGTCATGAATGATAGATTGCCAAAGTGTGCGCGCAATCATTCTGAACGAAAGGACAGTGCTCTGACATGTTTCATGTCGACGCACACAGTGGATGATCCGAAAGAGGAAGCAGCGCATGTCATACACGGCATAATACAGGATGAGGAATCATCTAGTACACGTAGCCCAGCAGCTTGCCACCAACGTTCTTGCGACGAGCCTCCTCGTGGTCGAGGATTCCTGACGAAGTCGTCTACGCGTGGAACGGGAATGAGAAGAGGATAGATGATCAGATAAATCGACTCGACTCACGAGGATAATGATGCCGAAACCACGAGCAGGGAGCAACAAGTTGACCCAAGACTCGATCTGCTTCGCCTGGACGTTGTACCGAGGCGAGATGACGCCGGTCTTGTTGAGGCGGCCATTGAGCTGCACGACGATCTTGCCGGAGCGGTGGTCGTCCACAATCTCGAACTCTCCGATATAACCTGTTTACTTGGTCAGCAACGTCCTGAGAGTACCGCGGTGAACATAGGCCGCAGGCTGAACGCTAAATGTCCGCAAGATGGATGTGTTCTCCCTTGTGAACTCGAACCCGTAGGCAAGCGGATACGCGTTGTTTGGTAATAGGAGAAATGGTCAATGTTTCGGAGGGTTAAAACGAAGAACGGGTATGATATATCCCTCGTCAATCGTAGTTATGTCACTCCGAGAAGATCGATGCTCAAGCGAAGCAGAAAAGCACCGAATCCGACAGAAAGATCAAGTTATAGCGGGTAGCTTTTTACTTACCGTGGCGCTGCATCACGGAAAGGAATTTGACCACGACCTTCGAGGAAGGGCGGATAAGCACCTGGCGCTTGCCACGACGCTCAGCGTTGACGATGTTGTTCTATTCGGACCTATTGAACCTTCTGCGGAAGACCTTGCGATACAGAAACTCACAAGGCAGTCGTTCTAGGTTCGCAAATGGGACGTCAGTCGTGAGACAAACAATGAAGGCATGATTCACCCACAAGGACGGATACGCGGACCATTTTTGCTGAGCGAAACGGAGGGAAGGAGAGGGCGGGTCTCGGGGGTCTAACAGATGCAGAACAAAGGCCAAGAATGAATGAGCGAGCTCTGTCCGAGTGTCGTGCTACGGAAAGCGCGAGTCAGGACGAGCTGGGTCCGGAGACCCCATTGCAGCGGCGCATCGCAAGCATCAACCAAGAGAGTTCGAGCGCGATGTGTGAGCCGAGCTGTCCGTCGTCCTCGATCCAGAATACGTGCAGCTATATTCACCTTTTTGAGAGAGGCCGGGTCTTGAGGCGAGCGGAGAGGACACGAGGGGCGCAGGGTGGCAGGCGCGCAGTGTCTTTTTGGATGGAACTGTACAGCCGTTCTCACGCTCGGTTACTTGACCTCACCTCGCTCTCCTCCCCCGCCCCACGCCGCCGACACACCCGACAACTCAGCAGACAAGATGGTACGACAGAGCTCCATAATGCCGGGATGATACCGAAATGCTGACCTGGAATGGTTCATCAGGGACGCGTTCGCACGAAGACTACGAAGAGGGCCTCCCGAGTGCTCATTGAGAAGTAGTAAGTCATTGAACCGTATATATGATGTCTGTTAGTAGGATGGAGAGTCGGGGCTGGGTGCCAGGTCATGCGGCGGATGCGTCTTGCACAGACGATTTCATGGAAGGAACAATATTCTGATTTGTGTTTCCAGCTACCCTCGTCTTACCCTCGACTTCCACACCAACAAGCGTCTCATCGATGAAGTCGTGCGTTGTTATTCAACATACGCCAATGGGTGCGGCCTAACACGGCTTGAATAGGCTGTTGTCCCCTCTAAGCGCCTGCGCAACAAGATCGCGGGTTTCACGACTCACTTGATGAAGCGTATTCAGAAGGGTCCCGTTCGCGGCATTTCCTTCAAGCTCCAGGAGGAGGAGCGTGAGCGCAAGGATCAGTACGTGCCCGAGGTCTCAGCCCTCGACACAACTGTCTCCGGCTTGGAGGTCGACCCCGACACCAAGGTACGTGTGCTTCGAGATTCATCACCGTCAGAGATTGACAATCTGGTCAGGCCCTCCTCACGTCGCTCAACTTTGACCACATCCCGGTTAACGTTGTTGTTCCCGTCATCACTGTCCCGGAGCGCTCTGGCCGTCCGCCGCGACGGAACGTCCCCGGCGCTGGCCGATGAGTGCTCTCTGCATCCGAAAAAGGCTCTTCGGCTTCAAGGAGTAAGGCGCTACTCGTGGAGCAGTCCCCTCCTTGCTTTGTATCCTCCTATGCGGCGCATCGTCTCTGTCTGTCATGTATGCATACATGTCTCGAATGCATATGCAAAGGTTTCCCTGCAAGGATATATCATGCGAGTCGCGCGAGCTATGGTCGATGTGACTGTCCCTCGATTTTTCTCTACTCGTCACGACCCGCATTCCATCGCTTCGGACACGGACAACAGTAAGTTATATGCTGCAGATGTGGCTGTGAGGAATCGGTCATTTCCATGGCATAAGCGAGGATGCTATCGTCATGAACTCAGTCATGAACGACATGCGCATGCAGGTTATATACGCGATTGCTTCTGGGGCCGTGTTTCATTCGCGCTCTCTGCGAAGACCCTTGCTAATATTCGCCCGCCTCCATAGTTTGTCAACACCTGCAGGCGGAGACCCTCGATGGTACTGACCTGAACTACAGCATACGCGCGCTCGCATGGCCGCTACACAGGCCGACGGCTCTGACCACAAAGACTTTGTGCCTCCAGACGGATCATGGCACAGCATCATTGCGCCTGACAGTGAATTTCCTCCCGAGGCCGGGCGCTACCATCTCTACATAGGTACGATCCACCTGCTCATGGTTCAATCAGGGTATGCTTACATGCCGTTGGGCGTTCTAGGCTTATTCTGCCCGTTCGCTCACCGAGCTAACCTTGTGCGGCATCTGAAGGGCCTCACATCTCTGATAGATGTGTCCGTAGTAAAGCCCTATCCCAAAGGCGATGAAAAGGGCTGGCCTGGCTGGTGCTTCCCCAAATCGGAGGATGAATACCCCGGTGCAACGCCGGATAAGTTGTTCGGGAGCGAATATCTCCACGAGGTTTACTTCAGAAGCAATGAACAGTATAAGGGGCGGTACAGCGTGCCCGTCCTTTGGGATACCAAGAAGGGCGTAATCGTCAACAACGTAAGGGCTACTTCCGGTTCCATGTTATGAGAGGGTGTACATCTGAATTTCCCTCGTCACGATCGCAGGAAAGCCCTGAGATCCTCCGGTTCCTGCAAACGGCATTTGACAACCTGCTCCCGGAGCCCTATCGATCTGTGTCCTTCTATCCTGAGCATCTTCGCAGTGCTATCGACGAGATCTCAACGTGGATGCAGCGCGATCTGAACACGGGGGTGTACAAAGCCGGGTTCTCGTCCACGCAGGAGGGATACGACAGGAACGTCGTCCCAGTGTTCGAGGCGCTCAACAAGCTCGAGAAACTTGCGTACGAGAACGGTGGGCCGTACGTGCTCGGGAAGGAGCTGACGGAGGTGGACCTGCGGCTCTATCCAACGCTGATCCGATTTGATACGGTGTACGTTCAGCACTTCAAGTGCAACCTCGGGACTATCCGACACAACTACCCTGTTCTCAACAATTGGATGAAGAACCTCTACTGGAACGTGCGTGGATTCAAAGAGACGACGGACTTCAAGCACATCAAGGAGAATGTGGGTTCCGTCATCTATGTCAGTCATGTTGAAGATTCTTAAAGTTACATCTGTAGTACACTAAAAGTCACTACGACATCAATCCGAAAGCCATCACACCTATGGGCCCGATTCCCGACATAGAGGAGGGCTACGAAGCCAACTGGAGCAAGATCACACCCGGCGGGGTTCATCTGGCCGCATAGCAGTCCATCAGGACTGAGTGAAATGCATGATATTGTTCGTTTGGATTCGGTCACCATTTCGAGTACGGGAGGAATTTGCCACTGTACGAATACATCAACATTTTTTGCGGGAATTCTGTGCAGAGATCCACGCACTCAAAAGTCAAGAGGACACGATCGCCCTTGGGATGCTCTTTCTTCTGTACGGTTACGCTGCAGTCGATCATCGACATGATGCCGTCACCGAACTATAGCGATAGGCGCCGCTCAGTATGGAGCACAATCAGTGCTGTCCTTGCCAGTCGGAAACATACCTTCTCATGAATAACTGCCTTGATCGCCTGACCGTATACCAGCACGCCCTAGACATATGATGCTTGAGTGTCCAGTACGTTACAAACGTCAACCACCGCCTCACCTCGTACAAACGATACAGCACCGGGTCCTGTGGCGGCGTCGGTCCAATGCCCCTCTGCAGCCATACCGACGGACCGAGCTCCCTCTGCAAGCCGGATAGCGGGACCTCGAGGACCTGCGAGAGCTTTTCAAGATCCGAGGGCTCAAACCGCGCCTGACCGTAGAAAGCGGCAGCGATCCACACTTCGTCCCGCCCGATGGCCTTTCCAAGCTGATCGAAAGTGAGACCTTTCGCAGCTTTCGCCTCGAGGAGCGTTGAGTAGATCGAAGGGATCGATGCAATGGTCTACACAGACATTGATTACCAGATCCGGATAATCACAATGGCCCACTAGACTCACCGTCATGGTTAAGAATCGGGAACCAAGCTATGGAGATTACAGTCCTGTATTTGAATGTCAGAATGCTGTGATCCGTCGGCGAGAGCGTGCACTTGCGTACCAACAATGTGCCGACTGGCCTCGCACGCAAAGAGGGTCTTGAGAGATGCATTACCCATATCATAAGACCGCACGCACGCTACATGTGCTGCCTGAGAGCAGTATCGAAGTCATGTGAACGCCGGATCTTCTCCTCGTGCCGTTGGCCGTGGACTAGGAACGCATGCGCTTGCTGAGGGATCTGATAGAACGACAAACACTGCAGCTCAGGTACAGCTCGACCCGATATTATACTGCAAGAGGCGAACTTCACGGTTCAAGGCTGTCGTGTGAGCCGCGCAAAGTTAGCCGGGAATGCGAAGAGAACGGCAGGGAAAGTACTTACCGCAAGGGGGATCGACATCGTAAGAGCATGGTGACTTATGAACGCAGTGTCTATGCGCAACCTCCCAACCAGAACTCAAGGCTTTGGTGAAGGCCCGAAATCCCGGATCATCGCGCGTCATCGGGGATCCGGGCCTTTGGACAGCAGCAACTTACAAGTTCTGGACGAAACAGGTCCATTCCACTCTTATATGAAGCAACGCGGCGAGTCAGACTCGTTCACCCCTTATGGCAGCCACAAATCGGCTCAAAGAGATATCGTCCAGAACGCATGGGGATATGTGCTTCGTGCGTCCTCGCGGTTCTCAGGGTAACAAGATCGTAGAGACAGATTCGGACACAACGCATCAACATATCCTCTGGTCTCCCATGGATTGGTCAAACGTGCGCCAACCAAACGGCCCTTGCCAGGATCGCTTAGAAACCGAAAACCACGTATGGTTGGGCGGCATTGGGCGCTTGGGCAGCAATGCAAACTTTTCATGGGTATCCTGGATTTGCTCAGTCGTAGTGCTTAGACGCAACGCTCCAGGTCTTCGATATCAAAGAACAGAGTCGAGATGGATGAGAAAACGTAAATCGCGCGGAGAGAGAGCGTGTAAGGTTAACCCCGGTTACCACTGAATCCCGCCAGTTCGGATCACGTGCGTCGGCCCGGCAGCATGACTTCACATCTATATAATCATCGATGCTCCCCGACTCCCAACGACCGCGACGACAACCCACACACCCCAGTACGACCATTCAAAATGCCAGGAACCGAGTCTCCTTTCCCGATTGACATCAACAAGTACAAGAAGTAGGTTGCACAGCGCTCGTCATATTGCCATATTTGCAGTTGTTGATCTTGCTATCGTCCAGGCTGAAGCTCGACCCTTCGAAGCCTCAGCTTTCGGAGGAGGAGAAGGCGACGCTCCTTCATAACATCCAGCTTCTCCGTGATATCATCGTCCTTTTCACCGCGACTGGTTCGGCTCGTGGTGTGAGTGGGCACACTGGTGAGTAACCTCGTTATCTATATTGCACCCGCAATGTACTCAGAGAATGAACTTTGTAAGGCGGTGCCTACGATACCGTTCCGGAGGTTGCTATCTTACTTTCTCTGTTTGAGGGTTCTGAAAAGTACCTCCCCATCATCTTCGATGAAGCCGGTCAGTGTATCTGCGCTTGACGTTTTCATCACAACACTCACTACCTTCAAGGTCACCGTGTTGCCACACAGTATTTACTTTCCGCGCTGGAGGGCTCCCTGCCTATTGAGCACCTTCTGCAATATCGTGCCGCCAACTCAAAACTTCCCGGTCACCCCGAGCTCGGCCTGACTCCCGGAGTGAAGTTCTCCTCCGGCCGCTTGGGGCACATGTGGCCTTTGGTCAACGGTGTAGCAATGGCCAACAAGGACAAGACCGTATTCATGCTCGGATCCGATGGTTCGCAGCAAGAGGGTGATGATGCGGAGGCTGCGCGTCTCGCTGTCGCCCAGAAGCTCAACATCAAGGTCCTCGTTGACGATAACGACGTCACGATCGCCGGTCACCCTTCGGAGTACCTGAAGGGCTATGATCTCCAGAAGACCCTAGAAGGTCACGGACTGAAGGTCATCACTGCCAAGGGCGAGGACATCGACGACCTTTGGGCAGCGATCAGCTCCATTGTCACCTATGACGGCCCAGCAGCCGTCATCTCCAAGCGCTTGATGGCTCCCGGGATCCCCGACATCGAGGGCAGCTCGCACGGTCACGATGTCATCCCGATCAAGTCCGCGATCTCGTACTTCAAGAACCGCGGCTACCCCGAGAGCATGGCCGCGGACATCCTTAACAACATCAAGCCGCAGGCGTGGCCATATCTCTACATCGGCTCCTCTAAGGAAGTCGGCGCCAACCGTGTCGTCTTCGGTGAGGCTGTCAACAAGGTGCTCGATACCCTGTCGAAGGAGGAGGCTGCGAAGAAGGTCATGGTCATCGACAGTGACCTTGAGGGTTCCACCGGCTTGAAGATCATTCACCAGAAGCACCCCGAAGTCTTCGTTCCCTCTGGTATCATGGAGCGCGGCAACTTCTCCGCCGCCGCCGGATTCGGATTCGACCACGACAAGTTCGGCGTCTTCTCCACCTTCTCGGCCTTCCTCGAAATGTGCATCTCCGAGATCACCATGGCGCGCCTCAACCACTGCAACGTCCTCTGCCACTTCTCGCACTCAGGCGTGGACGAGATGGCGGACAACACCTGCCATTTCGGCGTCAACAACCTCTTCGCTGACAACGGGCTGTCGGATACCCAGAGTTGGCTCTACTTCCCGGCCGACGCCACGCAGATGGTTGCTGTGATCAAGCGCGTGTTCTTCGAGCGTGGCCTGCGCTTTGTCTTCTCCACTCGGTCGAAGGTGCCATGGATCCTCAAGGAGGATGGCTCGCGCTTCTACGATGACGAGTACGAGTTCGTCCCTGGAAAGGACGAGGTTATTGGCGAGGGCAAGGCAGGCTACGTTGTGTCGTTCGGTGACATGCTTTACCGCTCGTGGGATGCCGTCGCTCGCTGCAGGCAGAAGGGCTTGGACGTTGGTTTGATCAACAAGCCTACGCTCAACATTGTGGACGAGGAGGTAGGGCTAATCATATCTGAGAACGTACATTCGCTGAAACCTTCGCCTCTAAAGGTCATTCGCAAGGTCGGATCGTCTCCGTTCGTCCTCGTTGTGGAGTCCCTCAACCAGAAGACCGGGGTAAGCGTCGTTGGCAGTTGGGAATTGAAACGTTTGCTTATTCATCCGCGTAGTTGGGCAGCAAGTTCGGCACATGGCTGCTCGAGCGTCAACTGACGCCGAAGGTATGACCTCGTTATTCTCTCTCTCAGAAGCGCTGATTCTCACCTGTTGCGACCAGTATGGTTACATCGGCGCTGTCAAGGAGGGTGAGTAGTCAAATAACTGGCCTTCGCCTAAAACGACTGACCGTCTGTGTCCAGGTTGCGGTGGCTTGCAGGAGCAGATCCCTTACCAAGGTCTTGATCCTCAATGTAAGCTCCCATTTCGTTCCGTCAAGACAGCTTGTTCACAGTTCCTGCAGCTATCATCGTCAAGATCATGGCTCTGTCACATTCTACCCCTGCGCCGCCCACGGCATGAAGCACTCTCCGAAACAGCACGAGGTCGGCGACGTTGTATGAGCAGGCGAAGAAAACATGAAACAAATAGCATCATCAAATGTAACATTGGTAATATAGATTGCATAGGGTCCTGTACCTATCGACGAAACTTAGACAACCAACGATTGATTTGACGTCTACCAGCTCACAAATTACGGTATACTGTATGCCATCCATGCTTCTTGACCCTCTTGCCCGCCGCCTACCCAGGCGCTGACCAAGCTCGCCGCTGTATTCTTGACCGCCCATCCGGTGATGATAATCATCGTCGTGAATAATGGATGGCAATCGAGTACAACTGGTCGTTCCGTCTGATTAGCTTACAGGGTAACGCTCGCGAATGAAGACAACGAACCTCTCAGACCAAATCCCGCGGACATCCCGCCGAGAACGTTGCGAACCACCCATTCCCTATCCAACTTGTCCTCGTCGAGCATACGCAGAGCACCGACGACGAGAGGATGATACTCCTGCTCCAGGGTCGTGTTCGCGTACCAAGGCGTCAAAGATTGCTCTGCAGAATTTGGCCGCCATATGGATAAGAGAAGGAGCAAGAACAGTTTGATGAGCGACGAGTAGAGTAGTGTGAGCGGGATATGCGAGTATCTGCAGCCCTGTCAACTAGAGATACCCGAGGATTCGAGTGTCAAACATACCTGAACAGGTGCCAGGTATTGGATTGAGATGAGCGGCGAGCGAGTCCCAAACCGGAGAGGACGAGGAAGCTGGCGCCCATGATGCCTAGGTGAAAGGCCACTGTCTCTACGTTCGGGCTTATATAAGAGGAGCAGTGTGGTGTGTAGCTCGTATAGCCCACCTACAAGGCAACCTACGAACGTCCTGAGGAACGCCTGTAAAGCCTCCTCATACCACTGTTCGGATTCTTCAGCACTCCCATTGCGTGGTCCTTCGATGGAATACCCTGTTTGTCACGTTGGAATCCGATTGATAGCATCCGGAGTTCCGGGAAACGAACCTAGATATGTCCAGCGAATGACTGCACAAGACTTCGAGTCAACATATGCCGGTGTTTAGAAGGTAGGTCGACACCCACAAGCGTCTACTGCGACAAGTAAGAGGCCAAGTTTCCCAACAAACATCCACCGATCCTAAGGACGAGGAGTGAGCCATTTTATTTCAAGCGGGGAATCTCCCATACGCACCGTTTCACGCAAGGCTTCAGCCCGCGCCTTGTACGCAGCGTCGTCATCGGCAGCCAAGGATACGACCGTATCTCGTGCTGAAGCCTTGCGCTCGCCGAGACCTCGATTGAATAGCAGGTGTCGGTACACCCCTCGTTTAAGCAGAATCAGGTCGATGAGGAGGGTCAACGTGTCGTGTTCGACATAAGGATCCGCGAACGCCTTGCAGCGCGACTGCAGGGCGAAGGCCCAGTCAGAGATGCACCAGCGTTGGATGCAAATATTACAAAGTAATGGTACTGACACATTGTTCGAGACGAAGGTTATAGGCCGATTCATAGACGGTGTATAGGTAAGGTGTTGGGGTCGTGCACGAGGTGCAGATGGGCATGTTTTGCTTTCAGTATTGCTTTACTGGCCTCCTCGAGTGTTCTATAGCATCTTGGGAGCTACAGGTCGCTGGAGCATTAGCGACGCATGAGGTTATACGAGCTATGTATATGGACAAGCAAAGATAGTTAGAACCAAGGCGCGTCGCGACGGTGCCCCGAGCTTATTACTGCGGCGCGCAAATGTGCCTTGCACGGGTCTCCTAGCTATCATATAGCAGCCATGGCACTTGCGATACATTCACATAAAGCCTGCTCTACATCGGTTCAATGAAGTTTTTGAACGATTAACCTGCTGAGCCCCAGTGGCTCCAATTTGACCTTACTCGACGGCCTTCGGCCACCTTTCCAGATTACCCTCTAGCTCAAAGACGTGTCTTCCCAGACGCTGAGAAAGCGCCTCTGTGCTATGCCACCGCATGCGCGTGAATCGTGATATATGGCTCGATATGATAGAAAAGCCCTGTTGCTCCACCCTAGAAGTGAATATAACGAGAAAAACATCATGATCGCTCAGTCGTCCTTTTTCGGATCTTTCTGAGCTGGCCTATGTCCGTTAGCCCCATTGACGCCGTTGACACCTCCAGAAGGCGTCCTTGGGGGAGGCGACGGGCCGTGTCCATTTCCGTTGATGCCGAGTCCTGCTGGTGACGGAGGCGGGAAACCATTCACGGCAGGATTCGGGGTGGGTGGGAAGTGCCCGTACAGGTTTGGAGTGTTGGGTGCGCTGGGTCCAAACTGCGACCCGAACGTCGCGGCTGTCGGTAGCGCGGCACTTCGGGATGCGGTTCTCGAGTGGGCGCCAGAGGGGGTGTATGGGCTTCGAGGCGGCATGGGCGAAGACGGTGGGTACGGACTGGCGGACGGCCCGAAACCAGCGCTGTAGGGTCCCGCGCTCGGCGGAGGGCCAAAGGACGGCGAAGGCGCGGCGGACTGGCTCCATGATGGCGACGGCGCGTGGGCAGACACGGGTGTGCCGGCGTAGCTGGTGTACGGACTTCCGCCTTCGACGGCCCATCCACTTCCCTGGCGAACGACACGCGAGCGGAGCTCTCCGCCGCCCCACTTTGCGCGTAGGCCGCGCGATGCACCGGATGCTTCCGCAGCTACGATGCCTGGGGTTGAGTCTTCGCCGGTGACATGCGAGATGGCATGCGATGTAATCCTGTAGGCGTATCCGGCACATACGAAGATGCCACCGACAACTCCGATTACACTATACGGTATGTTAGTCGCAATGCATCTTAGAGTACGCCGAGACGGACCGAATGAACAACTGGGCTAATGTAGTGGTTCTCTGGTTCACGGTGATGCTCAACGGATCCAATTCGAATTTGAAGAAGATGCCTGGTGTCCCCCGGCCGTGTTCTAATACCCTGGTGTAGTGTGTGACACTATATTGTGCGGTCTTGAGCGGCGAGGAGCGAGGAGCGACGTAAGTCGTCGGCACCACATGAAGAAAGTATTGGTATGCAATGAATGCTGTCAACACGTCAGTATCGCCAACACCATCCGGATGAGGGGTACGACGAACGATCCGTTGTAATTTCGAATGAGTCGTCGAGCGGTTGCGTAATGTCTGGGAAATAAGGACCGAAGGAGAACTCGGTGATCACATGCGACAGATTCATTTCTGCTCAAGTTATCAGCAGCTGATGCCAATCGCGAGGGAGGGAATACCCACGGTCGTGCGGGACATGTTGTACGCTGGCGTAGCCATGACCGGCAGTTGTGATATGCAGATTGGCTGAGCAACAACTTCAGATGAGCTATGACCAATGCCTGTGCAGGAAGTCGTGTGACCCACCGGTGACCTTCTTAACTTGAAGAGTGCCATATATTCTGCACGCGCCACCGTCAGGTTGATGGTTGTACGTAGGCTTGTATCCTTGGCCAGATCTACGCAGCGCTAGTCAGGTTGCCGGTGAGTTACAGTATCGCGACCCGTCACGTACCTCCTGAGGAGGACATCGAACAACCCCCGAGATTGTCTAGACTGCGCGACTGCTTTGCGCGCAGAGAGCTGCGCGGCGTGCTCCTTCAATGCAGTCGCTTGTCCGATGTCAAATAATGTCTGATGGCATGCGTCAGAATATATCTGGCGGAAGGAATGAGTGCACTGACGCCATCGCGACGGAAGGCGGATGAGAGGTAAAGACGGTCCCCCACCGCGTCTCGCAGGTCAACACTGAGGTCTGCAACAGGCATTAGAAGGCTGAGCATTCCGTCCCCGCCCGATACAAAACGATAGCACTTACACTGGCAAGGCATCTTAACCACCATATCCACGTTGATGTTCATGTGACTTCGCGCCTCGTTGTCAACGCTGAACTCGTAATCCGGCCATCCCCAGATAAACTCGCCGAGATCGTTCAACACCAGGAAGAACGCAATGAAGGCGACAAGAGCGGTGAACAAGCCCCGCGATTCCGAGCGCGCCTTATAGGACGCGGGTAGCTTGGGGAACGCATCGAAATGCTTGAGCGACTCCGGTGCCAGCGAATCGAGTGTAGACAGCAACGAGTCGTCCTCCTGAGTCTGCGTCGACATGACCGACGAGAGGCAAAGCCAACAAGGCCCAAGTAGTGAAGGAGGAGTTAATGAGGTGGCGGGCGCAATGCTACTGCATACGTGGAATGAAGCTCGGCTCTAACTTCGGGCTTACGGTGGCAACGACGGCTGACTGCGTTTCTCAGGGGTCCGCCGACTTTTCTACGGCCGCCACTGGTCCACATTGCTTTGACGCGCGCGAAACAATCAGCGTGCACGCTACAATCTTATTTCTTCAACATCAATTACACTCTGACTGACAAGTGTGAGCAACAATTGAAGGGCTCGACTCAGATGCGAGTTTGGTACCGGAAACCACAGAGGAGTCGGGCAGACCTCAAGCTGCGCGTGGGCGAACCATAACATGGGCATTCGTCCAAGAGATGAGTCCGTCCCTGCCGTGTTCCACGCCCTGTATGGCCGTGAATAACACAACGAACGGAGGGAAAAGATTACTTGCCAGTCCGGACAGCTTGTGGCCCCCGAAAGGTACCCAAGGATCAAGCACAGCCCATTGGTTGATCCAGACTGCCAGGCCGCAAGTTGAATCAAGTCACTGCAACTCACGAAAATTGAAAGACATTACCTGTCCCGGCATCTAGCCTTGACGCAATCCTGTTCGCCACGTCCGCGTCGCTTGACCAAACACTGGCTGTGAGACCGTATTCGGTGTCATCTTGGATCAAGCACAGGTGTCAGCTGCTTGGCTCAATGACTGGGGGGTGCCATGGACTCACTAGCACAATTGATCACTGAGTCTTCGTCCCTCCACTTCAAGAAGGGGATGATAGGGCCGAATTCTGGTGTGTGTTCAATAGGACAGACATCGTTGCAAGGATGGCGACTCATGTTCATCCGTCACAATGCGTGCTTTGTCTGGAGGGTTATCCACCTACATTGCGGAACAGATTCATTTCCATAGGCAATGATGAGCGTTGAAGATTTATACGCACAAATGTGATCGGGACAAAGTAACCAAGGCCATTGGCATTGCCAAAGGTCTGCAAGTTGTAACCGTTGTCTTTGCAATCCTGAATGAATCCTCTATGACGCAAGTGTGCATGAGCAATGCATGATTTCGTAGGGGTGTCGTGGCTTACTTCACTTTCTCATACTGCTTGATGTTTTGAAGTGGACCGAGTCCAGTTGTTGACTCTAAGCCATCACTAATCTCATGGTGCTGGCTATCTTCGCCAATTCGTTTTTCATCGCATCATATATATCTTCATGTATATAGACATGTTTCATGGTCTATAAGTTCCTTTGAGCTGGGAAACGGCAGGGTGGGAAAAGATATAAACCTACACCGCAGATCTGTCTGCTGTTGCTGAAGATGGCCCAAGACATTTGTGGCGCGATGGCTTTCACATCAATGTCCGGGTATACAATTGCAGGGTCGTTTCCGCCCAGCTCCAGCGTCACCCGCTTAATGCTGTTAGCTGCACTTTTCATGACCTTCTTGCCGGTCTCGCATGATCCTGTGAAGGAGATCTTTGCGATACCATGATGGTTAGTCATCCACGCGCCCCTTCACGGCAGAATCAGCTATTGATATATCATGCTCGCACCAGGACTCAAGTGAGCGTGGATGTAGCTTGAAATGCGAGCAGGAGGTTGAATGATAAGGGGGTACTCTTGCACCTCGCCCCACGCTCTTGTAGCTTTCAAGTCCGGATTCAGACAACAGAGCCAGTATGATGGGGGCACGATGTACATGAGTATGCAGTACGATAACCTTGCTGGGAGTCATGGACATCAGGAAACACACCCTCTGGGAATTAGTATCATAAAGGGGGGGATGTCAAGTAATTACTGGACTATCCATGCAGATAAAGCCATTTTGGGGCCTTTTACAGTATATAGGAACATATAGGAGCTAATAGGAGGACATAAGTACAAAAATGAGGATATCTGGAAGGTCCCCCTGAGCATTTGTCACAAAATGTTCACAAATATGTGGAATTTTATGAACTTTTTGGGCATATTTTGGTGATTTGTAACATCAATCATCTCTTCAATATGATATATTTTGGTTCAAATAACACCAGAAACCTCCAGACTTCATGTCACATCTTGTTAGATGTCTTCAGAATTTGGTCATGTGTACTATCCATTCATCAGGTATTATAATTACATTGTGCAGGAATCTGTATACATGTGTGATTCAATCTTCTTCTTATTGTGC